GGATCCGCTGGGCGGGGGGCAGTTTCGTTCTGACGATCGCGAACGGAGAATGCCCGACACGCAGCCTTCCGTGCAAGTCGGTGCCAGTCATACTTGCCCCCTCTGTACCGCGGCCGATACTGCATCGTACCTGGTTCCGCCCGTTGCACTCACGCGCCCTCTGCCATATGTGGGCGTCTGCCCCTGAGCTTCGCCCCATGCCTGCGACATACGTCGCTCGCCCCTTCACCTGTCCTCAGTGTCAGTTCCCACGCCTGCGGGCCTCTCAGGTGCAGCCATGGCCGCCACAACCGTTCGACGATGCCGTGGAAGCGTGCGATCCGCACGTCAATGTCCGCCTTGGCGATCTCGGTCTGTCTTAGCGGCTGACCCTGTGTTTCAGCTCACGGTTGGGGACATTGCTTTGATACTGCTGGCGCCGTGGGCATGCGCACTAGCGTGTCGTGGTCGAGCAACTTTGTCACTGGTAGGACGTCCGTGAGGGTGTGGCCCAGCAAGTGACCAGGCCGCATCAGGGTGGCGTCTTGGCGCTTGGCACGCCGAGGGACGACTGGGTTTGTCCTCTTGGGGTGTGTGTCCACCGACGGCATTTCCTGGCACTGGATCTTGGACTCGGGTCGTGACGGAACAATGGGGTTTGGGGGTTCATCTATGATCGCCTTCCCCCTCCGGCAAGCGTTGCGGCCGACGACATACGTCGTTGAGGTCCTTTCTCCCGCCAGGTCAAATGCCCTTGCTACCTGGGATGCTCCTTCGCATGGAGTTCTGACCTGGGCTCTCGGGTGCATGCATGTTTTCGGCTGCTGTGACCCCGCCTTTGGGCCGCAGCTTACGTGGCCTTGGCCGCTGGTTGACCTCCTTGGCGGACATCGACCTGCTTTGTCACGTTCGCCTGGTCCGGGCTGCTAGAGTGGGGTCGGCTGTGTCGTTCTTGAGAGTGGCGGATCCGCTGGGCTGTGTGCAGTTTCGTTCTTACGATCCACGAGCTGAGAATGCCACCCCCGGCGCGTAGCTGCCCGTGCAGGTTGGTGTCGGTCACTTGCCCCCTTTCTGTATCGCGGCCGGTACCACATCGTACCTGGTTCCGCCGGTTGCACTTAAGCGCCCTCTGCCACATGTGGGCGTGTGCTCCTGTGCTTCGCCGATGCCTGCGACATGCGTCGCTCGCCCCTCTACCTGTCCTTCATGTCAGATCCCACGCCTGACGGGCCTCTCCGGGTGCAGCCATGACCGCTGCAACGGCTCGACGATGCTGTGAAAGCGTGCGACCTGCACGTCAATGTCCGTCTTGGCGTTCTCTGCCTTTTTGTGGCTGACCCAGTGCTTCAGCTCACGGTTGGGGACATGGTTTGATACTGCTGGCGCCGTGACTATGCGCACTAGCGTGCCGTGGTCGAGCAGTTTTGTCACTGGCAGGACGCTGGCAGTAGGACCGTGAGGGTGTGGCCCAGCAGGTGACCAGTGTCGCATTAGTGTGGCGTCTTGGCGCTTGGCACACCAAGGGTCGTCTGGGATTGTCCCCTTGGGGTGTGGTCCACTGACGGCGGCTCCTGGCTTTCTGGATCTTGGACTCGGGTCGTGACGGAACAATGGGGTTTGGCGGTTCATCTGTGATCGTCTTCCCCCTCCAGCGAGCGTTGCGGCCGACGACATACGTCGTTGAGGTCCTCTTTTCCGCCAGGTCCTTGCTACCATGACCGGGTGGATTGCCTGCGGCACTGGTCTTTGCACTCCTTACCCGAAAGCCGCCCACGCATGCAGTGGACTTTGGACTTTTGGATTTTGGTGTGCACGATCGTGACGGAACAAAACGCAGGGGTTGTCCGTTGTCTGGCGAGACTAGAACGGCAACCGGAGCCTGGACTGGCTCCACCTGTTGTTTTGGGCGGCTCTGAGCGACGGCTCTTTGTTGCTCCTGACCGGTCGCTGAGGCTCCGTAGTTTGGCTGAACGGCTAACACCGACTAAGCCTGTGCGCCGCAGCCCTCCGTAGAGCTTCACTTCTGTTTCACCGCTTTTTTGTAGTTTGACCTTTGGATTGTAGTTTTGCTTGTTTGTAGGGACCGAGAGCTACAGCCGTAGTCGACGAGGCCCAGTCAAGCCAAAAAATTTTTTTGACAGCTCCAGGCGACGGCCTATTGTTGTTGTGGATCTCGCTGAGGCGTAGTTGTGGGCCAACACCGGCAAAGTCTGTGCGCCGCAGGCTCTCTTTGGCAGCCGCTCTGTTTCACCGCTGTTTCTTTGTTTTGTGTGTTTGTAGGGACCGAGTGCTACAGCCGCAGTCGACGAGGCTCGTTCACGAGAAAAAGCTGCACTGAGGGTTGTTCCGATACCGGTTTGCAGCAGTGGCACCTTTGGCAAACCGTTGGTCAAACTTCGCTTGTTCCCATCTGTCGAGAGGCCGCCGACTCTCTCTTACAACTTTCTGGAAGTTCGCATCGGCGGGCCTTGGGCCTCGGTTTTCATGCCTCCTTCTCTTCGGCTGGGCTCTGTCATCGACGCGCAGTCCTCTCCTTTCTTTCGAGTCTCTGACCCTCGCGGCCTTGAGTGGCTGTGCTGCTTCAAAACCTTCGCTCTGTGCTGGTCTTCCTCCGGTTGGCTCTCTGTCAGCTAACGCGCGTGGAAGGGCCAAAGCAAAGAACCTCAGCGGCTGCCCTCGCGATTCTCCTTGTCGCCTGCCGGTGCAGTGTGCCTGCTGTTCTTCTGCAGCCGGCTCTGTCTCGTGCTCGTGGCTTCCCCTCTTGGCAGAGGCTACTTCTTTGCCATGGTTTCAGTGAGGTCATTCTGGCAGGCTGTAATCAGACGGCAGGTCTCCGGTTGTTGCCTTGCTTTCTCTCACCTTTCGAAAGGGCTCCACCAGGAGGCGGCCCCTGCCGATGCGCCTGCTGTGGCTGCGTGTTTAGGCCTTTGTCCAGCCCAGCCTTTGCCTCCTCTTGCCTCGAGCCAAGAAGCCGTGCTTTTCAATAATGTGATGGTGTCGCACCAATAGGTCACCGATTCCTCCTGGCCTTGGCGAGACAAGACTCACATCAATGGCTTCGAGGGCCGGTCTTACCTGCGGGCCTTTCGTCTTCGTGCCAAGGCCTGCGACGACCAAACCCAGTTTGGACTCGAATGTTGCCTTGGGGGCGGTCCTGAAGGGGCGAACAAGCTCCAAGCTCTTTCGCCCCATCGTGTGCAAGTCGGCTGCCCTTCAGGTCGCCTACGGCCTCAATCCTGGGCCTTTGTTTTGCCCTACCAGGCTCAACGTCAAATCATTGCGAAAATTCCCGGGCCGTCGGCAAGTAGCTCGTGAGCTGCCAGGCCGTCGCTCGTAAGCTGCTGGCAAGTGAAACTGCCAAGGTGCTGGCCAGGGCTCGTTCGGTGCTGGCGAGTGCTCGTAAGCTGCGTAAGCGAGTGCTCGTAAGCTGCTGGCAAATGCTCGCAAGCTGCTGGCAAGTGCTCGTAAGCTGCTGGCAAGTAGCGTGCCCCCGAAAGCTCGTTTTGCAAGCAATTTAGAGCCCCTAAGATCGTCAGAGCTGCGGGCCGTAGGCCCGCGAATCGACAGTGCTCCGAAGTACCGAATTCTGACCTATGTCTCGAACTTAGGCCTGTAGCCAACACAGAGTGGAGAGCTGGAACACCCTCCCCAGAGAGAGCCTGTATAAAGTGAAACAACAGGCTGCGACAAACAGACTTAGCCGGCAAAGTCGTTCAGCATGAATTAAGTGCACACGGCCCCACGGTTCACTTGCTCTGCTCCCCGTAAAGTCTGGGTCGCGCAATGGCAAACATGAGAATTGGTCCTGCTGCCCGTAACCTTGGGCAGCGCAGTGGCTCTCATAGAGCATTGATTGTGGCCCAGGACTCCTCCGTTCCCTACTGACCAAAGGTAGTGAAAGGATTATTAAGGCCCCATATCGTACTCCTAAAGATCCCTTATAGTAACTCTTATAGACCCCTTGATAAGGCTTATGGTCAGCAAAAAGGCAGCTCCAGGCCTCCAGGTGAAGGATTCAGCCGCCTGGAATCCGAGTTCCCGGTGCCGTGATCTTGGAACGATTGCGGAAAGCGGCATGGGAGGCTGAGCTACATAAGCGAACTGAAATGCGAGCCAGAAGGAAGGCTGAACCCATTCTTTGCACGGGATGTAACGGTCGGGGCGAGTGCATGAAGGGATGACCCCATTGCCAGTTGTAATCATTTGGGGGCTCGTACCTGTCGCATGAACAGCCGGATAATGACCGCTTGAACCAGCTCAGAGAGAAAAACCTCTTAAAGAGACATCAGGCTGGCAAAGTATCGGGATCGGCATTTTCGTCAAGGCCATCAGCAAAGGCTTCAGCGAGTAACTCCCAAACTTTGGGTCGTGTGTGGTTTGCGGCGCAGTGTGCAGTTGTGCTTGGCTGAACAGTGTCTGCAGTCTATGCCGGGTTCCATTTGAGACATGCGACATACTAACAATCATAGCAGCAATGATAATGATAATAACAACCATCGCAATAATGGTAACGCGAATTAACGAGCATGATAATGACTTACCGCAAAAAGATGAGGTTCTCGCGGGTTCACGAGCGGCCTCAGGCTCGGCGCACGCGTGCGGACGCCGAGATCTCGTACATCATCGAGGACCACGCCGGGCTCAATGCCTTTCTTCCGGCTTCATCGTTGCTATTATTGTGATTATTATGACTATGAGTATTATGGCTTTTACTGCTCCTACTATTGTTACGACAATTGTTGTTATTGTTTGTACTAATATCATTGGAAGAAGTACTGTTTCATCAGAAGTATTCGTAGGACGACCGTTGCACCGTACCGCGCGACGTCCTCGCAGGTGGCTGAAGAGGAGTGCTTGGAGGAGGTGGGCTGTTCTTGCAAAGTTCTCGTCTTTTGGCAGATGGCGGCATCACATGCGAGCTTGCGTGTAGGAATTGTCACTGCGTGACGTCTGCTTGGCAGCCCTTTGGCTTAGAAGGCCGCCTCAACCTCAGGTCCGGAGCTCAGTGTTCATTTTCAGGCATGGCGGGCATCTTTGCCGCGCTAGTGGTATCTGTGGTCGCTGTCGCAGAGACATGCAACATGCCAACCTCGATCACCGGTGTCCTCTTTGATGCAACCAACATTAACAATGGAAGAGATGTGGCTGTTTCGGGATCCTATGCATATGTGGTCGCCACTCAGACCGACGGACTGCTCGTCGTGGACATCTCTGATCCCACCAACCCCACGGTGGCGACAAGCCTTGCGGACAGCACAGACATGGCTGGACCAGAAGCTTTGAAAGTTGTGGGCAACTACGCCTATGTCGTCAGCTTCACTTCCGATTCTCTGGCCATTGTGGATGTCAGCAACCCGACCTCCATCACGAAGGTCGGCAGCCTCAACACAAGTCCCTCCGGTGACATGAACGGAGCTCATGGGCTGGATGTTGTCGGCAACTATGCTTACGTGGTGGGCATGCTCAGGAGTTCCTTGACAGTCATCGACGTTGCCGATCCGACCAACCCTACCCAAGTGGGCTTCCTGTGGGAAGGCAGTGACCGGATGACTTGGCCTCGGGATGTCGTCGTCTCCGGCAACTATGCCTACCTGACGGGGCAATCGAATTCCTATGTCACCGTGGTGGACGTGAGCGATCCCACCACACCTGTCGTCGTTGGAGATGTGCAGGACACCACGAACATGGGAGGTCCTTGGGCAATTGCTCTGGCGGGCAACACTGCCTTTGTCACCGCCTTTTCTGGCGACAACATCGTCTCAGTTGACATCTCCACGGCCGCAAGCCCCTCCGTCCAGGACCATCAGGGAGGCTCCTCCGTGATGAACGACCCTCGCGCTTTGGTCATCGACGGGTCAACGGCATATGTGAGCTCAAAGGAAACGCGTGCCGTCGTGGCCGTGGACATATCGGATCCGACGAGCAGCATGGTTTTCTCTCATGTCGACATCTCTAAAGGAGAATCAAGGGTCTTGAGTGTTGAGAAGTTCAGCCATCGGGGTGTTGGTTCTTACGTTTTCCCATGGAGGCCAGCGAAACGCAGCGCTCCCGCAGGATCCCGTTTTGCCCAGTAGAGGACCGGGGAAGTGAGAGCCGCGGACAAGTATCCTAGGATGGCCAAAACACACTCCAGCAGGTTTAAGGTGTTGGTTTAGCCGGAGAGAGGGTCTTCGGTTTACAGGATAGGTGCAAAGCTGTTTCTGTCTCCCAGATCCCCAAGCCCAGGCATGCAGGTGCAGGATTCTTTGGTGGATTCGACGTTGCTGCACACTGCCCGGGGCATCACGGCGGCTCGGACGTCAACCTGCTACAGTAGTATTGTAGTCTAGTAGTATTGTGGTATAGTAGTTTTGTAGCAGTAATCCGGAAAGAAGGTGCTGTAGGCTGACGGTCCGGCGTATGAAGGTCCTCTTGAAAAGCGGAGGCCTTTGAGTTGCTTGTACGGTCCTCGTTTAGGGAGTCCTCTTTCAAGGTTTTTGTTGTGTTGCGTAGACTTCAGTCAGGGCAAACGGTGCTGTGCAAAGTTTCATGATAGCTAAGCCGGCTTGTTGTGATCGTAAGATGCCACAGTCAGGTTGACTCTAACTACGTGTACGTGGTGAGTGCCAACAGGCTAGTGATCATGGACAAATGCACGGCCTCGACTACCACATCAACAACCTCTGTGTCGACATCCACGTCCCTGACAACGACGGACTCAACCGTGACAATGACTTCTACATCTTCCACATTCACCACGACTACATCGACCTCTTCTCTGTCAACATCCACATCCCTATCAACATCCGAGACAACTGCAACAGTGACGTCAACATCTTCGGCATCATCCTCATCCACAACTTTGTCAACCACTCTGTCAACAACCGCGTCCACAACTTTGTCAACCACTCCGTCAACAACCGCATCCACAACTCTGTCATCCACTTTGTCAACAACTGTGTCAACATCCACAACTTCCACGCTGGTGACATCAACTTCTACACTATCGGCTTTTGCCAGTGAGACGACTGCCAACGAGTCTGCGGGTGAGAGCACCAATGTCACCAATGAAACGTACCTGCCCGACATAGAGGCGAGTACGACAAGCACTGTGGCTGCGGACTCATTCGGGGAAGATGCAACAGCTACAACAGACTTCGACGTCCCACTCTTCCTGTTGGTCTTGGGCGCTGTGGTCGTTGTGGTGGCTCTCGTTCTCCTTGCATGTTTAGCCTTGCGGCGCCAGGCACAGCAGAGCGACTCGTCCCAGCCAGCTGAAACCAGCGTTTGACCTGATACCTTCCCCTCATGTGCCGCCAAATGCGGCGGCGACATGAATCCAAGATTATCCAGGCATGCCAAGCGTTCTGGAAAGGTGGCTGTCTCCTATAGGGTGACGGCCAGTTGGAACTCAAACCTCTCTGTCTTCAACAAGTAAAGCCGTAGCAGAGTTGCCACGACATCAGGTTTAGCCAGCCACCCCGGAAACAAGGCCATCAAAATTCCTGCACTTCATCAAGAAAGAGAGAGGGCTGAGCTCCCCTTTGTACTGTACGGATTTGATCATGTCCCCCCCTCTTGCAGGCATGTTGCCGGCCGCATTTTCGCCTTGTGCACCGGGCATCACCGGGCCTTGCGGGTTTAATTGCACATCCAACGCTTGCCCATACAGGTTTGTTTGTGACTGCAGATTGAATCATGAGACTGCGGTTTGATGGTGATTACATGTCATTCTTATTGGCAGTCTTCCCGAAGTGTGTGACCTATTGTACTGGGCAGTCTATTTCGCAATTCGTCTTCACATCCCGCAGGGACGGCTGCATACTGGAAGGACCTTGCGCTGAATGAAAAATGAAAGAATTGAAAGTTGCCAGGGTCAGGCAATCTTTTCGGACTAGAAATGCCACATAGTTGTGGCAGCTGCATGTCCTGTTTGAGCTCTGCATGTCCATTCAACTGCCAGTTAGTGGACGTTGGCATAGCTGTGGGTTTTTGCAGAGAAGAGTAGGCACGGAGTAGGCAATGTGCCAGGGAGGCACTACTCGGAGGCAGGGTCACACGTGCAAGCCGCCAGCTTCCAAATCACGGCAGGCCGTCGCGGCTGCAAGCCAGAAAAAGCTTGGTGCCAAGATGTGCTGAGAAGGGTAACTGGCGAAGCTTCAGGCGCTTCGTCGATAGAAGTTGTCACCAAGGTGCTCATTGTGTTGTCAGAACTTTCGGAATTGAGATGCATTGTGAGTCGGGCCTCTTCAAGACAAAGCTACTGGCAGATTCAGTGCTTCTACGCTCGGAGGTTCGATATAAGGCCCAGGCCATTCGCCAAGAGGCCGGCTTTTGATCGAAGGTGGAATCTGGCTGTGATCCTGCATTCTGCCTTCACGTGGACGGTTGCCTTCTCTGAACTCCAAACCCTGAACCGTCGCAGAACCCTCCATGCTACCCTGGCCAGAAAATGGACAAAGGCACGTGGACAGTAGGTCGTCTGCAAAAAAGCGGACGAGATTGTGTTGTGATGGCTCGCAAGAATGGGGAAGCGGGAGCGAGACCACTGAGACAACCCTTTGGGGTGGTTGAGGGAGGCGTGGAGAAAAAGGGGAGACGGCCCCCCCGGCGTCTTCATGCCCTGTTGGTCTCAGTTGCCTTGGGACTTGGGAGCGAGGTATTTTTGGGGCTCTGGGCCACGGGGAAAACCGTTGTTTCGTGCGAAGCTTTGGCTTCCTTTCGGCACCGACGTTGCGCCTGCGTACGTGTACTTCCGTGCTTGTGGGCATGATTTTCCTTTCAGTTTCTGCAGGACAGCCCTGGTCCTTGAAGGCACAGCACGACGCCCGCGAGCGCCGCTAGGAAAAACAACTGCAGCGAACGTTGGAAGGGCCACGAGGCATGATCGACACACAGACACATGGTGCCATCAGTGCAGATAGAAATGCCACCCCTTTGTGAACCTTTGCCCGAAGAAGACCCCCTTGCCGCCCAGGTCTCGCTTCTCGACGTCGCTGCGAACCGCCTGAGCCTCCGTTTCGCTTTGTTCGGCTTGCTACTTGTGAGGTAGTTGCAGTCCAAGGCGGCTGACGTTTGATCGTTGTTGTAGCTGCACACCGCAAGCCTGAAGCCTGCACACTTGTTGCTGCAATACATCCAGAATTCAGCGTGCACCAGTAACTCTTCGGCTCACAAATTCTCGAGCGGAGCAGCGCAGCAGTTGTACTATGGAGCCTGCCTTGTACGTTTGAGCAGGATCATGAGCACGTGGCCACTGAACTGGCTTCCGGCAGGCGCAATCAGGGCATGAAGCGCTACATTTGATAACATCCAGTGGCAGCCCCTCACCTCCGCTGAATTTGAGCTGAGAAGCTCCAGGCATTCACATCTCGGTGCTTGGTACAACTTGATCTCTCCCATTTCTTCCCTTGTTCTGATTTCGGCTCAAGCCTCGAAGCCAACTTTCTTGTGCATTTACCTGATGCAATGAAGCAAACGATGTTGCTCCGGCTCTTCTTCACGGCAGCCCTTTGTCCGGTTGGGGCCATGAAGGCCGCAAGCCTCTCCGGCCGGAGCAAGCTGAGGGTCCATCCCCTGACGTGGAGAAGACCGTGATCGACGCTGTCCAGAATGACTTCAAGCAGGCCAATGACTTTCCAGAGCCACAGAGCGACAAGGGGGCGGAGGGGCTCGGGCTCGGCGAATTGGCTAAAAACTTGGAGTTCCTGATGCTCAAGGTGGCCCAGCTGGATTCTACGGCGGCACTTAGGCGGAGGCGTGCTTGTTTTTGTTTGTAGGAGGGGCTTTGGGAGTAGCTGCGCAGCCAAGGAGACCGCTGTGGAGCTCCTGGAGGAGAAGACTGAGATCCAGCAGCTGGAGTTGCAGAAGTGCATGGAGGAGAAGAACGCATCAAAGCAAAGCAGCAGCCCCTCTCTTTTCGAGATCAAAGCTTTGAAAGAAGAAAGGGCTAAGTGGGCCCCCGTGGTGCTGGAGAAGGTCCTCCGCAAGCACGAGCACCAAAGGGAGAAGCGCCAGTGGGTCACTCCGGTGTCTCTGGAGCAGCGGGAGCAGAGCTCATGGTTCGACCCAACGGAGTGGCTTGACAAGGCGGTCGCGGCGGCAGTGAGCAAAGTCGCAGATGCTTTGGGGAGTGCTTGCAAAATAGTCCCACCACTGCCCCACCTGACGAACGAGGCCTTTGGAGTCGACTTGGGCAGCCAGACATGCACCGTCAAGCTCGGGGGTAAATCTGTAACCCTCGTCAACATCAAACTGGGAAAGATCACGCAGGCTTGGCCCGAACAAATCAAGGGGGCCATCGTCATCGCCTCCGGGATGAAGACATGTGCCGATCGGATTGCGGCCGGCGCTCCGCCGCCAAGCTCGCTTTTCGGACAATGTCGTGAAGGCTAACCCTGTTTTGTCCATGGCATACGCGGTCTTCAGGGACGTGTGGTTGTGCCGTGACAAAGAATGGATGGACATGCGTGGAAACTCGCGGGAGACCCTCGCCTGCCTAGGCAAGAGCGTCTTCGACAACGTCCCGCAGCTCTCCAAGGCGAAACCTCTCTTCGACGCTGTCCAGGCGTGCGATGGAAATCCGGACACCATGAAGTGCATGTTCAACCGCGTCATGAAGGACGTGCTGGGTTGCCAGGATTTGGGCTCCGCGCAGGCAGTCGCAATTTGCCTAGGCAACAACATCATCAACTACGTGCCTCCCTTCACCTTCTTCAACAGGATAGGCGACATCATTGGGGACATGATCGAGGGCTTCGCCAGGGTCGCGGCGGGCTTGGTGAAGCAGGTCCTCAAGAAGGGCCAGGCCCTGATCCAGCAGGCCGTGTCCACGACGTTCCCCTCCGTCGGAGAGAGTCCGGTGGTGCATCATGAATCTTCGAACTTGATGATCTACACCCACTCTGAGGGCGCGCCTCCCAAGAAGCGGGGCATGTCGGCCTTGCAGGAGGAGGGCCCGGACGGGATCGGATGGAGCTTCAAAGGGGACCCCAGCCACAAACAGACGAAGCTGATCACCCAGTGCCTTGGCTCCCACCGTTGAGACTTCCTTATCCCTCTTTCGAGGCCCCTTCTCGTGATTTGCCCGGCAGGTTCCATGGCCGTGAAGTGGATACCAGCTCTTGCCTTGCCTTCGCGCCCAAAACCAAGCACGGCCACAATGGACAGGCCCTTGAAACGGATTGGCAGGCGGAGAGGGGGGTGCCTTTCAGAGATACGCGAGGGGAGGGGAAGATATCCTAAACCCTAAACCGTCTCGTGTTGTGCTTTGGATGCAGGTTCAGAACCCGAACGACTTCGTGCCGCTCGAGCCCTGGGCCGTGCCTTGTGGCAATGCCTGGATGAAGGACAACGCGGACAAGTGGCAGGGCTATTCCTTTTACTCCGCTGCGACGTCGATCGACGAATGCCTCACGATCACGTACTCCGTCAACATCCAGCCTGTCGCCGCATTGATCGGTGGGGTCAGCATTAATGTGATGCCCAAGAACTGGGCGGACATCGACACCACGATCTGCTGGCCCAAGACACGGCCTGGTGGCTTGGACTTGAGCATCCTGAAGACTCAGATCAAGTCCCACGACATCGTTCTCTTCTCCCGGACCCTCCGCCTCACCAAGCGCTTCTCGGACGGCAATCACTTCTTCCCGCACAACGTTCACGCCAGCACGAGCACCTGGAAGAAGAAGAACAGTCCGCGTGCCAGCATGTCCAGGACCAAGCTCCTGCAGACGGACCAGGGCCTGAACCACTCCGGCCACTCCGAACACGAGGACGAAGAGGACGTGGAGGAGAAGGAGAAGGAGGACGAGAGTTTGTGGGAGTGGCAAACCGACCCGGAGGACCTCTACCTGGCCTCCGGCAACTTCACCGACGACGGCCTGAACCTCACCTCGGAGCTCTACGGGCACGCCGTCGCACGCCATCTCGGCCTGCTGCAAGAAGCCGCCGAAGCCGGCGACTCCAACGAGGCGCAAAGAATCTTCGAGCTCTTCAGCCTGCAGCGCGGGAACACCGACCTCATAAACTTCCGCTTCCGGGCGGTCCTGGATGTGCCCTGGGCCTTTCGGAAAATCCTCCTCAGATACAGGATAATCAGATTAATGTGACAGGATAATTCTGCTCTAATCCCACTCCAACTCTCCCCTGGCCTGGCACCTTGTTGTGACACACCATATTCTTGTCTCCGTCCTCTTGCTCGTCTTGTGACTTGTGACAGAGAACTCCCGAGCACAATGCAGTCCACAGTTTCGCTCCCCATAAAGCCAAGCTACATGTAGCCACGCCTTCCCTGGAGGGCAACAGCTTCCAGCTGCGCACGCAGATGGGCTTCGGGCCGTTCGAGATGAAGGAGAAGAGCATTCAGCTCATTAACATCATGGACCAGTTCAAGGTGGTGCTGCACGCTCTCCCTTGGGTGTCTCATCGCACTGCGGTCTCAGCCATGGAGGCCCTGGAGAGCTTCTCGGCGAGCAGCCTGCCAATCGTGGAACTTGAGCCTGGCAGCACCATTGCGCTGATGAACCCCACGCACAGAAGGTACGTCCAGTTGACCGCGGACGGGATTCCTGCTGGCAGTGGCGGCTTGCACGAGAGCTTCCATGGCATGCCTGCCGGTTGGATCTTCGAGCGTTGGACGGTCATCGACGTTGGCGGGGGGGAGATCGCTTTGCACAACGCCAGGCACAACCGCTTCTTGTCGATGCATCACAACGTCATGTTCGCCTGGGAGGCGGCTGCCAGCGAGATCAAGCCTCACTGGGTCCACCAGCGTTGGACCGTGGTGAACCTGGGGGGAGTGATTGCTTTGCACAACCGTGCTGACAATCGGCTCCTGAAGATGAATCCCGATGGTGGAATCGTGGCCAGTCCTCCTTGCAAAGACCCGATTCCCAGCGACTGGCTCTGGGAGCGATTCCGTGGAGGTCTTGAAGCCTTATTTGAGGGTTGGGGCGAAGGTGGGGCTCTACAACCGCCATCACAAGCGCTGGCTCATGATGGACCACCATGACATGAGCATCAGCGTGCCGACGGCCGATGCCACCTTTCATCACGGATGGTGGAGGGAGACGTTCACGGTGGTGGATGCCGGGTACGGGCAGATCGCGCTGCACAACGACAGCTTCGTCCGCTTCGTGTCGCTGCAGCCTGCCCCCGAAGCAGTCACCAACGCAAAGGCGACGGCTACCACCATCCAGAAGTTCGCAAACGATCTCCCCACATCATGGACGGCTGAAAGGTTTGCAGTGGTGCCTGCAGGAGATGGACTGATAGCCTTGCACAACACCAAGGCCAATCGCTTCCTCCGTATGTCCCCCCACACCATCGACAGCAGCCCCATCACCAAAGCCAATGCGCTCCAGGACGACTGGTACTGGGAGCGTTGGGAAGTGGTGGAGGTCCCAGGTGCCGACCAATCCGTCGCCACTGGGTCCGGTGCCAACCAAAACCTCCTCCCTGGCTGGTCCACGAGATAATCTTCCTCAGCCGAGTGGCTCTTGAAGGACTGGACCTTGTCAGCGCTGGAGGTGACAAAAATTGCACGGTTGCATTGCTCTCGGCTGCGCTTTGCACCCCAACATGTCGAGGAAGTGCTTGAAGCCTTAACCTGACATGTTCCGAAACCGCGTTCTCAGCTGTTGAAGCTTCTAGCCGAAAGCCTGCAACCTTGTGGCAGCTGGAGGTGCCACAGCCGACGGCTCACCGCCAGTGTGGGGCATCTGGCCTGAGCGGGCCTTAGCCCGCTAAGCAGCATGCCGAATGCGATAACATCTGGAGAGTGGGGATCGGAACTCAACGGCTCAAGTCAATCCTCCTCTTTCGGAACATGTCGGAACTCGTCCTGGCAAGTGACGTTCTCTAGTGCTCTGGTGCAACGCAGGAAGCATGTAGGTACAGAATATGCGGGCCGTTACAGCTATCAACACTATTCCTTAGGGTTCCTGAATGCAAATATACTGTATGCTACAATATGTCCTTCGAGTTGCGACCGAGTTCGTTATCAAGCTAAGCGTAAGTCTGGAGTCTGTTAATGAGATAAGGGTCTGTGATCTCTGCCCGATTCTCTCAAATGCTCTGAATGTAGCAGCGAGGTACTGTCGACTCTCGAAAAGTAGCTGAATGCCTTGCCTCGCTATCTACTGTTCTATCTATCAAAGTCTGAAGCAGCCGATGTTGGGTGCGCCATGGTGCGCCTAATTAATGGGGTGATTTTGGCTGGAGCCGAAATCTGTACACATTGAAGCCCAGTTTACCCTCAGCCGATGGGCACGGCGGCAGGGATGGAGCCGGAACAAGAAAAATCGTCCCTTCAAGGCTCTCAACCCACCAAACAAAGCCAAATGAAGAGAAGAGCCAGGATGGCGACAAGCACAGCAGCACCACATTGCCCTCAAAAGCTGCGGCCATTTTGGAGCTTGGCAGCTTGGCTCGTGTTGCGCACCGTCAAGCGGAAACCCCTGGCTGCGAAGCTCCGAAGTACTTCGCCTCAAGGCGAAACTCGAAGTCAGCGTGGCGTTATCCTTCGGATAGGTCGTGCCGTTCAAGGCCGCCTATGCTCCTGATAGTCAGGACAGGGCACAGCTGTCACAGCCACTAGGCTACAGGACAGAATGATCCAGGGTATCGCATCCACCACCGTTCGTACTGTCCGAAACCAGCTGTCCGTCGGGTTGGACGCCATGCGCCGCCTCGCCTGGAGGCCTCCAGACTCCAGACTCCACATAGCAGAGCAATCTACTTCGTCATGGGCAACTCCGTGAAGAAAGCCCTGCCTCTGCTAGCCCTCGACCCGTGTAACGCAGCAATCAGAGTTCCAGCAAGACCGCTGCCAGTGTTGCAACCGCTCATCAAGTTGCAGCCGTACTCCATGCGGCCGCCATGGTCATTCTCATAGCCGCCCTCCACACAACCTACAGCTTGGCTGCTGCCACCTACGGGTGCGCAGCCACTGTCTATGATGCCGTTACCGACATTGTAGCCAGCATGAACAATGCGGTCATCGTCACCGTTTAAGGCGATCACGATGCTTGTCAGTTTCCACAATCATGTGGCGCAATGCGATATTGTTTCCTCCTGCCAGCCTCTCCACCACATCTGCTTCCATGTCACTGTTGCACCGAAGAAGCAGAGGGCTTGGAACTGTGTCTTGGCCAACACTGCAGCCTGAAACATTTCTAGTGGCAAAGCAAGTCCTTCCGAACCGGCGATCATGGCTCATTGCCGTTGTGCACCCACATCCAAGCAAAAGAGAACGTCACCCTCGGAACCACCTTGCATGAGCGGAACACTCGTGTGAACATCTAGGTCCACTTTGAAATGCCAGAGGGGAGCAGTGCTTGCAACTCCTGCATCCAGCACTCTGCAGATGCAGAGGTCCTCACAAGAAGGCGAAGCGAAAGGACCATCAAGAGGGGAGTCGTACTTCGGCCATGGCACACCTCCACAGGTGCGACAACGCTTCCGCCTGGGGCCTCCGCACCAGTTTCCCGGCTCGGTCGAGCTGATGCCCAGGCGAGTGTCCACGAAGCAAGGCGCATGAATGCAAATGTGAAGTGATACTTGTGGCATTCTGAGATTTTGTGGTTCATGGACAGAGTTGCACAGATGTGTAACCAGTAGAAGTGGGTGTCTGCCCAAATCCCCAAATCTGCATACTATTTCGTCCTCTTTGGTCAGGGTCCGGGAGCTAGCTACATAGACGGTTGCCCGGCAGTGGTCACGCCAGGAAGCATGCTAGCATGCTACTAGTGAGCTAGGTTGCTTACAAAGCTAGTTGCAGTCCAAAGCGGCCGGTTTTTGATCGTTGGTTTGTTGCTGCAATACATCCAGAGCACGTCAACATAGCAACTCTGCGGTTCACGAATTCTCGAGCACAGCAATGCAACAGAAGGTACTTTCGGAAAGTGCTTGAACAAGTCCTGGCATGTGATGTTTTCTGGTGCTCTAGGTCTGGTTGGCCACACAGGAAGCATGCAAGAATGGGCTATATAATGGGTATATAATGGCTATATTAATGGTATATACCTAGGGGGTCCTTATTAAGGGTCCCTCCTTTTAGCCTTGGATTCACTCATCCAAACTATCCTGCTGAGCAGCAGGTTGGGACGCTCTTACCAAAGAGTTTCACGAAGTCCACTGCCTGACTCCAGCCGAAGCCCAATTAAGCAATGTAGGAACCTGATTAAGAAACCCTGGGCCTAGAACCCCAAAATAGTAGGATTCATATAAGGGACCCTAATAAAAACATTACTTGCATTCGATGCTGGATTAGCTTCGGAGCTCTACATGCAGCCGCAAGCTCGATGTATTCAGGCTGCAGAGCCCGATCACGTCATGTTACTGAGGTGCCGGAGTACTCATCGGTGTGTTCAGTTTCGGCAGGAAGAAGCGGTCTGTCCGTACTTCTTTCTCTGCTACATGTCGCTGCTACTGGCGATGCATCGCTGCCGCGCAGCTAGATGCTTTGCAGTCCGGATCGCAAGTGTCGAAGATTTCAGCCTGCAGCCTGTCGCTTCAACAGCCCTTCCAGCCCGGCAGCTGCTGGCTGCAGTTCACCTTGCTCAAGTCCCTAGTTTTAACGAGATGGCACGGCAGAAGCGTCAGCATTCCGAAGATTAAAGGCGCGCACGTTGCAGGCGATGCCGTGCCAAGCTGGCCGGCTAAGGGAGCAATCACAAGACGAAGCCCGGTTATAGCCGCTGAAACCTTCAGCGTCTTTGCCGATGTGGACGGTGCAAGATGACTTCAGGTGAGAAGGACGGACCGCAAGCATCCCAGCATCCGCAAGCCACAACTGGGATCTCCATAGATGGACCCTTGCGCCATCAGCCTCAGCATTAAACGTCTCAAGCTACCAGTGACAGGAGTCGGAAGAAGACGAGGTCCTGACTCTGCGACCCCTTTTCGAAGCTCGCCTGGTTCGTGACAAAGGATTGGCAGTAGAATGATGACTAGACATCCCGTCTTCCTGAAGTTCTTCCACTTCCGGCGAAATTACATGAGTGTTTTTTTACAGCTTAATCCCGACAACACCGTAATCGGACCCCCCGAACTCTTAAAGCCCGAACCTCAACTCTAAGACCATGAAAGCCTCAAGCAGTTAAAGTGCCCCCAAAACCATCTAAAGTCACCGAAGCCATAAAAACTTCGATCTCCCAAACCCTACAAAATTCGATTGTAAGGCCCTGGCCCTAGACCACACCCTAAAATTCCTGGGCCCAAAAAATATTGTGAGAGTTTAGGGCTTAGAGATCCCAAAGACGAAATCCCCCCTAAAGTTACTACGGATGTTATGGAGCTGAGGAAGAGACTTTGGTCGACCCGACAGCCCACGAGTTGGAATTCGATTTTGGACACGGCTGGCCGGTTGCATCATGTTTTGGGTTCAGCAGTTTTTGAAGGGTTCTACAGTTTTCTTATGTATGACCCTTACAGAAGCCCTGAGGCTAACCCTGACAATAATTGTAGCCCCTTCTAATCACCCTTCCAGAGCTGCATGGAACGCTTACTATGCTCTTTAACTGTTCAAGAGGTGCACCCTAAACCCTCAACCCTAAACTCTTCACTCTAAACCCTAAACCCTAAACTCCTCACCCTAAACCCTAAACCCAAAACCCTAAGCTCTTTACCCTAAAGGTCTGCAGTTCCGCCTCCTTCAGCGCCCCGAAAGCTTCGCCTCGCAACGTGCCGGGACGAGCCTTGACGGAAACGAATACCCATTAACTATAGTCTCCTTAGGACTCATTTTTTTCATATAAAACCCAAGAGAGTATTAGAATATTATATTTATTATGGTTCTAGGGGGGGGGTATAGTTAACATAGAAGCCTACACAACTACCAATATTATTGTTAGGGTTCCTGAATATATATATATATATATATATATATAGTATAAGATACCCCACAGCCCTGTTCCAATTATTAAGGCCCCTCTAGCAGGCTTTCCTAAAGGTTTGCTTATAGGGGTTCTATATGGGGCTGAGTTCGGGGTTGGGATTTAGGGTTTCAGACGGACGGGTTTAGGGTTGGGGTTCGGGGGTTGCCGGCTGGTGGATTTAGTTTGCAAGGTCCCTCTTCAGGTCCTTGGTACAAGAGCTCCATGCGTGTTCACACGCTCAGAATTGCATCCACATGCAGATCCGACGGGCAATCTTTAGGGATGCGTGAAAATGCATGTTGGCAAGAATGTATGTATGCAGCATGCATGTGGGTAATTTGAGCAACAGTAGGTGCAAACCTATGCATACACATTCATACAGATACGATTCTGCATGGAGGATGTGGCTTGGTCTTCCTGCCTGTCTTCGCTCAGATTATGCGGCTTTGCATGGGGGCATGATCGCAGCTACGCATGTGCTTACCTGCGTTCCTGCCTGCCCACCTGCCCGCTTCGCTGTCGACCTGCCTACCTAGCTAGCTAGCTACCTCTTTCCCAAAGTGTAGCGCCAGGATTAGGCATCAGGCTTGAAGCTGTTGCAGCGACTTCAGTCGGAGCGAGGGGGGTTACTTCGATATGTTTTGCCTCAGTCACGCGCATACGTATCCAGGTTCCGCAGTTCAGGGAGCCCAACACACACGCTGAAGTCCACACCCTGTAGTTGCTGCCCCGAGGTCTCTTTCGTGCGCACCCACCGAGAGAGGGCGGCGAACCGGCTGCATGGTGCCTTGGACCTCAGAAGCTCAGGGATGGCCGCGATGGCTGCGACGTCCCTCAACGGCGCAAGTTTTCGATTAAAACCTGCAACCCCCAACCCTTGAAAATTTAGACCCTCAGCTCAGCGCTAAATCCCAGACTGGTACCGCATCAGCTCCAGAGTGTAGGAAGGAGTCACTGCGTGAACAAGTGGCCATAAACCCTGAACCCAAACGGGAGTTTCCGAACATGGGGGACCCTATACTAGTACCCTGAATAGTAGGAGTAGGATCCTTATTATCAGGACCCCAATATAAGGTACCCCGATTTTCGGAAACTCCCAAACCTTTTCGCGAGGTCTGGGATGGGGCCGCCGTCCTCGCCGGGATGCTCTCTGCTGCCGAGAGGAGCTCCCAGGAACATCCAGGTGCTGCGGTTGATGATTGATGAAATAAAGGGATCTATAAGGGTACCTTTAAGGGTACCTTTAAGGGTTCCTATAAGGGTTCCTTTAAGGGTTCCTTTAAGGGATCTATAGGGTTTTAGGGTTTAGGGTTAGGTTGATGATAAAAATCCTGCAGTACCTTAAGGGCCCTAAACTATGGGAATTATGGTATATCCCTGGTATTATGGGTAATGCAGGATTTATATCATCAACCGTGTGGCTACACGGCTACACAGAAGTTCCCCTACGTTTGTCGTTGTGGGTTCTGTAGGGCTCAGGGGTTAGGATTCAATGATTTTGGGATTTGCGGTTCTGGGAGAATTTAGGTTGTGTTCAAGGCTTAGGTTTGAGGATTTAGGCTGTCGAAGCGAGCCGGAACCCCAGGCAAGGTCTCGGGGCTTCTTTTCTTTTCGTGCCGGTCTCTGGCCTTGCTTTGTGTCTCTGCGACAAAAGGACCATGCAAGAATCTAGGTTTTGGCGAAGGGTTTGCAGCAGTGGAGAAATTGGGGTTGACCGTATGTATCGCAGCGGTGTAATCGGTAACTGTGAGGCCTAGTACCGACGTAGATTGCATTTGAGTTATGCTAGAGTTTAAGAAGCTTCGGCCACATAGTCTGCCAGCTGCTGAGGATCTCTATGAATCATGATGTCATATGACGTCCACAAACCTGAATCATGATGTCCACAACCCTGCACCCTCAACTCAACCCTGAACCCTGAACCCTGAACCCTAAACCCTAAGCAAGAGCTGGTATAGGACTGGACCCTTACAGTGCCCTGGGGACCCTTAAAGGTATCCCTATAAAGGTTCTCTTAAATGTACCCTTAAAGGAACCCCCTTCGGAAGGCCGGGAAGCCCTGGGATCCTGGAGATCCGCCGCAAGAACGCGAGGGATACTTGAGCATGCTGGCTGGGATTTTCCACTCGGGCCTTCACTAGGGTTTAGGGTTTCGGGCCTTGGAGGTTTAGGACGTGCCTGTAGTAGAGCTTTTGGAGTAACCCCAAATGGTAGGATCCTTATTACAAGGACCCGAAAACAAGGTACCCCCCCCCCAAATTTTCGGAAACTCTCTTAAGGTGTTTAGGGTTTGGGGCTAAGGATGTTTTCTTTCAACAGTGTTTGTTGTTGGGGGGCCTGTATGTTGTTGTTCCCTATCCTGCGCATGGGATTGATAGATTTTTACGGCCGCACTTTTGTACTCCACCCTGCAGAGTTCCCACTACAGAGTCTGCTCAGCGCCCACCCCGCAGTATACTATCCCTGGGCACTCCCCGAGACTCTCCAGGATATCCGTGTGAGATACTATGCAGCTCATCCTGTGGGCAGGATTTGCATGGATGAGGCTTTGTGGGATACCCGGCAGGGGGGAACGCGGTACACTCCAGGGATACCCTGTGTGATCCTGTCGGCATGGACACACGGCAAATGCTGTGTGGCGCGGGTGTGCACGCCAGGGATACCTGCCAGATGCTTTGGGGGAGGGGACTATCCCACGTGTGGGTTCAAACGGGGCATTGTGTTTTCCTTTTCGATTGACGTCTTCGTTTTCTCCTAGAGCCCTTCTGGGACTAGAGCTTCCATAAAGCCTTTGAGACCTTCCTTATCAGCCTAAACCCAGAATCTGCACCCTTTCTAGAACCCCTTTGTAGAACCCTGATAGTTAGTCATCTAGAACCCTTACGGAACACGTTGCAAAACCACATATCAGGTAGAGCCGGTACCGAAACCTTCAGGAAACCCTTGTCTTACAGAACCCTTAACGGATTGTCTTGTGGAGTCTGAGCCCTAAACTCCTAAACGCTAAACCCCAGACTTCCCTTAGCCTCTAAACCCCGCACCTTAAACTTCTAAACCTTAATTCCTAAGCTCCTAAACCCTTAAACCCTAAACTCTAAACTCTTAGAGGACTTTGTCATGCAGACCCAAAAAGGCCCTCCAAAAAACACAAAACTCTTAGAGGAACCCTGTGTGGGGCCTTGACCGAATGAGGCTGGGAGCCGGTGAGGGGGGGCTCCCCGGAATGCTGGCCTCGCGGGCCTTTGGCTGCCAGGTGGGCGTGTTGTGGTGGGTTCAGGGTTGAGGGATTTCGGGGTTTAGGGTTTGGGGATTTAGGGTTGAGGGTTTTGGGGGGTTTGAGATTTAGGGTTTTTGCGTTGGGGCGTTGGTGTTTGGGGGGTTTGGGATTCAGGACTCAGCGGACGGTCCGGGGCGATCACTACATCCCCTGAGATCCATTTCCGCCTCGCGGAAGAACCGCTAGAGCAGTGGATGAAGCCACAGGACGAATGTGGGACCCTATTAAGCCTTGAACCACCAAAGTTTAGCATCCCCAAACCTCTAAACCCGAAGGCCAATTCCAAGAATCCCTAAATCACAGGTCCCAAAGCCTTATACCGTCGCGCATATTGACTAGGCGATCCTGACAGACCTGGAGGATGTCGTGCCGCAGCTGGCGCAAAACGTAGCGCTGAACTCTTCAACTGCCCTTGTCCAGGCATGCTTAGGGTCCCTGAGGCTAGGGATTGGTTTCAGGCATTTTTAGGCTTTTAGGGGTTTTCGGGTTTGGGGTTCAGGGTTCAGGGTTGAGGCGGGATTTGCAAGGAGGAGTAGGACACTAGCATGCAGTCATGTAGGATGATGCATGATGCTACGTCGCGCGGAGAGTCGCCCTCGTGGCCCGGCGAAGGCCCTGCATTGGGGGAAAGATGCTGCAGTGGCCGCTCGGAAGGCATAGATACCTCACCTCTTTCTGGGCAGGTTTTGGCGGATGACTCTTACAAGTTACACTTCTACAGCCCTAAACACAGAGACGCTGAAGCCTTAACCCCTGCACCAATCCGCTCGCCAAACCGGCAAGGAAGATCTCCTCAGAAGCCCCGTGCAAGGTAGAAGCCGGATTAACTACTATTGCAAGTCTGTCGGGTTCCTTGATATACTTCTACTGTCTGTTATCACATACCCCCAGACCCTATCCAGTTTTTACAGCCCTTAGACTTCTCAGACCCTTCAACCCTTAACCCCATAACCCCTAAACCCCCAAACCCCTAAACCCAAAACCTGAAAACCCTATTCTGATCTGGGAGTTTTCGAACATGGGGGACCCAAATCTAGTACCCTAAATAGTAGGATCCTTATTCTAAGGACCCCCAAATCAGGTACCCCCCTTATTTTCGGAAACTCTAAGCCCTTATTGAGCCCTTTAAAGGAACCCTTGCAGTACCCTTGTGGTGACCCTTTAAAGGAACCCTAAGGTCTCCCCCTATTTTTGCGGAAACTAAACCCTAAACCCTAAACCTTAAAGGCCTAAACCCTACTAAGCCCCTTAAACCCTAAACCCTAAACCCTAAAATGGGACCTCTCCTCCTTAAAGGAGTCCCCCCCATTTTCAAAAAACTAAACCCGAAACCCTAAACTCCCATCTTCCCTGCTTGGGGAGTTCGAGGAGTGGCCAGGGGCCTTTTATCCACCCTTCGGCCTCCTCCTCGCCGCGGAGCCGCTGCTTTTTTTAAAAAAAAATGATATGGGGGGGTTTTTGGACTTGAGGGTTTAGGGGTTTTAGGGTTGAGGGGTTGAGGGTTTAGGGTTTCACTTGACTTGAGGGGTTTAGGGTTTAGGCTTTAACTTGACTTGAGGGTTGAGGGCTTAGAGTTTCGAGGGAGGCGTCGCCTCTTTCGGTGCTCTCGGATTGGAGCTGCACTTCTGCTTGCCTTCGGCTTTCCTTTGCTCCCCCGGAAACCCCAAAAAGCATCGGGTTCCGAAGTTTCCAGGTTCAGTAAACTTCGCCGGGGGCCCTAAATGCAAAACCCCGGCAGAAGATATGGGAGTTTCCCAAAATTAGGAGTACCCTATTTTGGGGTCCTTATACAAAGGATCCTACTACTTCGGCTACTGGCTTAGGGTCCCCTAATTTTCGGAAACCCCCATACCCTTCTACCAGGACTGTCTCTACGACACCGGGAACGTTCCGCCCTTTGTGGACTCCCTCTGCGCCCTCTCCGGCCCGGAGAGCGAGGCAGGAAGGGCTGAAGGGCTCAGTTTCTGCGCGCGTTTGGCCAAACCCGCTCCCGGGAGTCCAAGTGAAAGGAGCCATTTTTTTTTGAGTTTCTGTTTCTCTTGTTTGATTGTATTCTTGGAGTTTGTGTTTCTGTTCTTTGTTTGTATCTTTGGAGTTTCTGTTTCTGTTCTTTGTTTGTATGACTTGCAGAGAGATTTGCGTAGTTCCGTCTGCAGATCTCGAAGCTCAAGCGGGAGCAGTTGGAAAAGCGGCGGCCTCCAAAGCCTGCGCCGCGCGACCCTGTGCCCAAGACGAAGAGCAGCTCAAACCCTACAGTAAGCCATAACAACGTCTTCTCTGTGTAGGGATTCTTTTCCTGCAGATCGAAAGAACGCGATCGAAAAAGGCTCAAACCCAATAACCTAAACTCTAAACCCTGCGCCTGCGCGCGCACTCCCGTTAATCCCGCTGTGCAGCAAGACAGTCGGCAGCCCTTGGCACTCCCTTAAAAAGCCCTGAGCCAAACCGTAAGCGCTTAAACCCCAAACCAACCTAAACCGTTGAACCCTAAACCCTTCTAAGCCTAAACCCAAAGGCCCTGGTCTCTTTCGACACCGCCCTGGGCCGTTGGGGCGCTTATTCCGCCTTTGAAGCCCTCGTTCGGGACCTCATACCTTCACGCTTCAGGGCCTCTGGGTTTACAGTTCAAGGTTCAAGGTCTTAGGGTTTTTTGGGCTTAGGGTCTTTCTTTGGGTTGAGGTTTTGGGCAATTTGGCTTCTGAGTTATTTAGACTTTCGCCTTCGGGGCTCGGGGTTTCGGGGCGCTGACGGCTTGTAAGGTAAAAACTAGGGGTACCTTATTTTGGGATCCTTATAATCAGGGTCCTTCTATTGAGGGTATATACTTTAGAAGCTGCCCCCACCCTGTAATAGTGACTATAAGGATTATATTAGAGGGCCTATTATATTCTTATTATACCACTATTACAGGGTGGGGGCAGCTTCTAGTATCTACTATATTGGGGGCCCCTGGTGTCGGAAACTCCTTGCTCCCGTGTCTCGCAGGAGCGCTGGGCCTCGGTGGAGGAGCTGCCGCTGGCGTGGCAGCATCCCAGGTGGCGGCCCGAGCCCCTTTTTTTTCGAAGAGAGGTCCCATTTTAGGGTTTAGGGTTTAGGGGTTTAGGGGTTAGGGGTTTAGGGGTTTAGGGTTTAGGGTTTAGGGGTTTAGGGTTTAGGATAAGTGGAGTAGGAGTATGAGCAAACCCTAGCCACAAGGTTACGGCAAGTCCCACAAGTGGCTGATTATGAGGTCAATCATATCCCAAAATTACAGCATAAGGGTAGCTCCATGAGTGGCTTATGAGGTCAAGCATATCAATGATGTTTGTTCAGCGTGCGAGGTTCCAAATTTAAAATAGAAGTTCTACCAGAAGACTTCATCAATGTCGGTTTGGAGGTGACCTCTATTTGTCCTTACGAGAGCGCTGAGGTTCCGGAAGCACGAGGTGAAGATCTTTCGACTCGTCGGCGGAGGAATTAAAAAGGGCTGCGCTGGATCCAGGAATACCAAGCCCAAAGCCCAGTCACAGCCGATTCTAGATAGTTGTGCCTGCATGGCTAGTGCACTAGCTTCGGTGCTGATGGGGCAGTGGCCTTGTTGACGTCATGCTCCCAGGCATCTCATCCTTGGTGAGCCACCCCCCCATTCAAGGTGAAGTTCGTGAGGGGGTAGGCCTGTGAAGTCAGGGTGAGTATGCCGCAGACATGGGGCTCAGCGCACCATGTGGGATCGGTCGCGGTGCAGCTCTGCGAAAAAGCCGCTGCGCCAGGGCCCCAGGAAGAAGTGCTTCAGTCCCCCCAGAGGCACATACCCCTTAAATTAGGGGACTATTCAGTGTGGTGGAAGAGAAGAAAGATTTCTGAGTTAAGGGATAAGCAGTTGGAAGCTCTGGGTTGCTGGTTGGGAGATTGGGGGGTTCAGTGTCAAGCTCCCCACCCTTTCAAAGGCGCATGAGACTTGTTCCAGTCGCTGCCACTCTTACTCTGCAAAACCCTGAAGCCCAAACCCTTAAACCCTCGAACCCTCAAACCCAAACCCTAAAACCCTCAAGCCGTCAAGTCCTACACCCTCAAACCCTAAATTCTTCAGCCTAAAACCCTTACAAAAACCCTAAGCCCTCAAACACCAAACCCTTTAGCCTTAAACCCTTACAAAAACCCTAAGCCCTCAAACCCTAAACCCTTCAGCCTAAAACCCTTACAAAAACCCCAAGCCCTCAAACCCTAAACCCTTCAGCCTCAAACCCCAAAAACCCTAAGCCCTCAAACCCTAAACCCTTCAGCCTAAAACCCTTACAAAAACCCCAAGCCCTCAAACCCTAAACCCTTCAGCCTCAAACCCCAAAAACCCTAAGCCCTCAAACCCTAAACCCTTCAGCCTAAAACCCTTACAAAAACCCCAAGCCCTCAAACCCTAAACCCTTCAGCCTCAAACCCCAAAAACCCTAAGCCCTCAAACCCTAAACCCTTCAGCCTAAAACCCTTACAAAAACCCCAAGCCCTCAAACCCTAAACCCTTCAGCCTCAAACCCCAAAAACCCTAAGCCCTCAAACCCTAAACCCTTCAGCCTAAAACCCTTACAAAAACCCCAAGCCCTCAAACCCTAAACCCTTCAGCCTCAAACCCCAAAAACCCTAAGCCCTCAAACCCTAAACCCTTCAGCCTTAAACCCTTACAAAAACCCTAAGCCCTCAAACCCTAAACCCTTCAGCCTTAAACCCTTACAAAAACCCTAAGCCCTCAAACCCTAAACCCTTCAGCCTTAAACCCTTACAAAAACCCTAAGCCCTCAAACCCTAAACCCTTCAGCCTTAAACCCTTACAAAAACCCTAAGCCCTCAAACCCTAAACCCTTCAGCCTTAAACCCTTACAAAAACCCTAAGCCCTCAAACCCTAAACCCTTCAGCCTTAAACCCTTACAAAAACCCTAAGCCCTCAAACCCTAAACCCTTCAGCCTTAAACCCTTACAAAAACCCTAAGCCCTCAAACACTAAACCCTTTAGCCTTAAACCCTTACAAAAACCCTAAGCCCTCAAACCCTAAACCCTCAAACTCTGAAACCCCCGAAGCCGTTTCGTGGCATCTTGGCCCCCCGAGGCCCGGCCGTGACCATCTCCCAGGTCCTTCCAGCCGGTCGCGAGCCTTTGCCTGAAGAGAAGCTGTCTGGTTCCTAGTAGGGAATGGGGTTCCTTTAAGGGTTCCTTTAAGGGTTACTATAAGGGTCATACTGTAGAGGTTTAGGGTTCTTAGTAGGGAATGGGGTACCTTTAAAGGGGGAAGTTAAAGGGGTCGATGAGGGATCTATATGGATACTATACTGTCTGGTTCTTAGGGAATGGGGTTCCTTTAAGGGTTCCTTTGCGGGTTCCTTAAAGGGTTACTATAAGGGTGATACTGTAGGGGTTTAGGGTTCTTGGTAGGCTGTCTGGTTCTTAGTAGGGAGGGGGGGAATGGTACTATAGGGATCCATTCCTCCACTGCCTACTAAGAGACAGAAAGGGAGAAGACCAAAAAAAGGAAGCAACGCTCCGGTTTTAACGGGTACGGGTCGGGTTTTGGTGGTTCAGGGTTTTAGGGTTTAAGGGCTGTAGGGTTGTAGGCTTTAGGGTAGAGGGTTTCCGGAGCGAATGAAGCCGAGAAGAGTGTCTAATGCTGTATGGTTTGCATCCCGCCCAAATTCTACAGTCTACTTGGAGGGTCGGGGGACTTAGTAACTGCTTATTTTGGGGACTTATAAGTACCATAACCCCAATTAGGATCCCTTTTAGGGTACTTATAAGTCTACTTACTACCTACTTACTAAGTCCCCCGACCCTCCAAGTAAGATCCAGAGCTCATGAAGTCCATGGGAGTCCTTGGATCATGAGCTCAAGAGACGAGTGTTGCTTCCGCATATTGCCTCCTTCCTGGGCAGCTAAGCTCGAGACTCGGGTCGACCGTGTCTAGACCCGGAGCCCTTTCGGAAACCCTGAACGGGAACCCAGGAACAGAGGCCCTAAGCTCTAAACGCTACGGCCTCAAGCCCCGAAACACAAAGACTGAGGTCTAAAGTCTAAACCCAAGGCCGTGAGTGTTTGACGGATCTCGGTTCTAGGGGTTCTGGGGGTTCTACGGCTTGGGGCTTAGGGATCGTGGTTTAGGGTTTAGGTCCGAGGGTCTAGGGTTTAGGGTGCCGAGAACCTCTATGTTGAACTCGCCCCAAAGCGTAATACGCACGATGCAGCAAGCACTCTAGACCTTGAGTCTCCCGTGAGACGGCACATTACATACGTCCGAAAGCCAGTTCATTGAATCGACGATGCAGCAGAATCCACACCTCTGGCCAAACACCTGCAGCTAAGGAATGGACAACCGGCTGTCTCTCGGCTGCTTGATCAGACGGATTTGGGGCCTGGCTCTGCTCGAGATGATGCGAGGTATAGATCAATGCTCCGTAGGAGCGTTCGTCAGTGTGTATTTGGGTTTTGCCATGCGGATATCAATAGGGGCCTTAATAATTACCTATACTATTTTGGCGGTTCCCTACTACAATAAGAGCACAATGGGCCCCAAAACCCTATTCTAAATATTGAGGCTCCTACGTAGACAGACACCTTTTCTCGCCGCTTTCGCAAGAAGCTGGAGCTCCTGGAGTAGACCCTAAAGCCCCTTTGGCCGCTAAAACCCAAACCTCAAAAATCCTTGCTGCCGAGGTTTACATGTAGCATGCTCTGGTACTTCTGCGACGCTCGTCTCAATGATTGTTGATGCTCGAGAGCGAGCAGCTGTGACACGAAGTGAGCCTGAGACAGATGTGGTTTGGGTTTAGGATTTTTGGGGGTTTTAAAGTTGTTAGGGATTATAGCGCTGCTTGAGCTTCAGAACAGGGTTTTGGAGTTTAGGGCTTTGGGTTTTGAGGGTTCAGGGTTGCTTGTGTGTGTTTACTTGCGCTGCTTTATGCAAGTTCTGAACTCAGCTCAAAGCCCTGAACCCTGAAGCGGAAACCTGAACTTACCTCAGCCTTCAATCCTAATTCATAATCCCCAAACCTTAAACCCAGGCTACACTTCAATTGGGGTGGGCCTCTTTTGTTTTGTGCAAGCCCAAAGTGGGCAGGGAGTTGGCAGTGCGAAAGTCCCAATGCGCCCTTAAAAAAATCCAGGCTTTTCCCCAAACCCTAAACCCAGGCGTTTCCGATCCTTCCCATTGCGTCCCTGGCGGTGCCGCAGTCGAAAGATGTGCTAGCTGCCCAGTGACCTCGGTTTCAGGCTTCGGATGAGCTGATCCTGCAATGCAAAGTTTGATCGACAGACGTATGATATGAACATATGTATGTGTATGTATGTATGTATGTACGTATGTATGTATGTATGTATGTATGTATGTTTATACATATATATATATATATGCACGTATTTATATCGATATACGCATACGTATCTTGGGGGCTTGAGACTGATGGCCCTCCGAGGTCGGCCCATCGCTGAAAGCACAGAGGACTCGAGATGTCTATGTTACACAGCTTTGCATCGCAACATCACAGCGAAACCTAGAAATCCCAAGGCCTTGAGCCCCTCAATGGCCCTACAACCTCAAAGGAAGCCTCAAGCCTTAAGCCTCAAACCCGAAACCCAAACTCCAAACCGCAAAATGCTGCACCCTCTATGTTTTTGCACCCTTATAGACCCTTTCACAAGGAACCCTGTATACCTAAACTCTCTAAGTATTGTGTTCTTATAGACCCTTAACAATGAGGTTTACATGATCCTACACCCTGCCGCCCTCTCCTTTGTCCCTGGTGCCGGCGGCAAAGGTCGAGCTCGGCGTTGCTCACGGACACCGTGGGTGTCTCAGGGATGTGGCATTGGAGGGCTTTGTGTAGCGGATTTTCTGTTTCGTTTTCCGGTTATTGTAGGATTTTTGTTGAACAGCTTTCTTCAGTTTTTTCTGTGGTGTTCGATGAACAGGACTCTTGATAGGGTTGCTGTATCGTTGAAACTGAGTAGTTGCGTGACAGTTGTGGTTTTGTAACAGTGCTTGTCGGGCTGCGTACAATGCAAGCACCAAAAGAGTTTGATGCTGGTGGTGGGGTCTTGCGGTGTTACGGCTAGGGTTTAAGGGTTCTTTGATGAGGGTGGGCTTGGTATAACCCAGCAATCGGCGGCGGCCTTGCGCTTGCATCGGCTTCCATGGAGGTTTTGGTCATCATAGGAAGTTGCAGCGGCTGTTCTGTATCCAGCACAAAAGAGCACCCTCCCACCATATTTATGAAACTCCCATGTCCCGGATGCAAGTTTATGTGTATGTATGCTGGCCTATGTACATGTGTGGCGAATGTTTGCGTACAGGTATATCTAAGAATCTATATACATACACATACATGCATGCATACATGCATACGTACCTACAGGTTGCAGCGCACGTTGGCTTGTCAAGAGGACACCCCTCTGGATGTTATGTCACCTCCCCAAGTCCCGACAACACACATATTATATATATATATATATATATATATAATATACACATATTATATTAATTATAGTATATATATAATATATATATATATATATATATATATGTATATAATGTAGGATGTATGTATGTATGTATGTATATATATATATACACACATAATATACTTCCTCAGCTTGAGCCGCACATCGTCCGAGGCGAAGCGGTTCGTTCGTGCGGAGGACTGCGTGTGCTTCTCTGCAGATCTCTGAGCTTACAGTCCTACGAATGTTTACATTCGAATTCTGGGGCCCTGTTTTCGATGTGCTAGATCAATAGCAACTCCTCCACAGACAAATGCTAAGAGAAAGAGCAAGCACGTCAAGACTGGCGACGGAGGACGGATCAAGCTTTCATGACTAAATCTTTTCTGCGACACGAACGACAGACCGGTTCCAAAGCCCTAAACCCTGACCCTGGCCTTTGAACTCTGCACCTTGAACCATAAATCCGAGCCCTTCGCTCCAGACACTGCTCTCCAAACCTCACGCCCTGGACTTCCCAAGCCCTACACAATATGCCTTCGACCTCAACACCCTAATCCCGGGTTCTGTACGTACAGATGTTTATAGAATGTCTATGAAGCCCTTCTGAAACCCCAAATTCTTTGAAGGAGTCGGATCCATTGCCTCTGCAGCAGAAGCCCAGGGGAGATCCCCGTGAGTATCAGACCGGACCCCAGGGGCAGAGAGAGAGAGAGAACTATGGTTCCTTTAAGGGTTTGTGTTTAGGGAGACATGGTTCTTGTAAGGGTTCTTTATAAAGGGATCTATGAGGTTACCAGAAGGGCTGCTACATGGGTTTAAGATTAAGGGTTGAGGGTTAGTTTGGATGCGGTTCTGTTGTTTTCCTTGGGGCAGTAAATTGTCTGCTATTTGCTAGTTTTTTAGGTCTTCTTGCTCAGGTCAGGGCGCGTCTGGGTTGTCTTTCCCACATGTCTTCAGGTTTTGCGGGATTTGCCTGCATGATTGTGCAGCGAGGCGTCTTCTCAAAGAAGTCCCTTAGGTTCTGGAGTGCCGTTGGAAGATTTCTTCTCGCTGCCGGGCAGTTCCCCGAAGAGCCCAGCGAAGGAAGCACTTGAAGCGCTTCTCCCGTCTCTGCCCGGCGCAGGTATGCGGTGCTAAGCAACGGCCTGCAAGTGGTGAACATCTTCGATCCCAACTCGACGCAGGCTGGCTTGAAGGATCGAGGGACCTGATAGTTAAACATTCATATTAGTAGTAGATTACGTAATGTTAGTATCAATTTTAACTTTAACATTGAGTATTGAACATTACTATAATAAGTTGAAAGCCAAATAGTACAGTTGTACAGCGCATAGCTGCCCGTTTACTAGTCGCCCTGCTAGGCAGCAAACGCCTGCAGCATGCCTGCAAGGGGGGGGGGGCCCTTGGCGCCGGAATTCGGGCTTGACGTGAGATGCATGGCGTTTCGGTTTAGGGTTCAGGGCTTCCCTCTCTTTCCCTCTCTCTTGCCCTGGCTCTCTTTCTCTCTTTCGCTTGTTGATGGCTTGCTATCCAAGCTAGATGCGTCTCTGCTTGCTGCTCTGCAAGAGTGTCAAGTCGTTGTCAAGTTCTGGGTCAAAATCCGTTGCGACAGGCCTGAGCCGACAACTTTATATCGAGAAGCATGCCTGTGAATGTATGAGGTCAAGGTGCGTCCCAGCCGACTTAGCCCGTTCTCTGGTAGGAGTGGCAGTAGTTTTCACTCTCTCTCTCACTCTCTCTTTCTCCTCTCTCTCTCTCTCGCAATACATATGCAATTCAAGATGTGTCTACATATGCGCATAGAATATGCAGACACATCCCTGAACTCCGCAGGGAGAGCCCTCAACCCCAAACCCCTAGCTCCCTAAACCCTAACTCCCTACACCCTGCAGCCCTCACCCCAGCCCTGAACCCTAAAAACCCTAAAACCCTAAACCCTAGAGCCCTCACCCCATCCCTAAACCTTAAAAACCCTAAAAGCCGAACTTAACTCCAAACCCGAAGCCCTAAAGCCTTAGACCTTAAACCCTAACACGGTATATCCCTTACATCCCTTAGATCCCATAGATCACTCAACCCTAAACCCGAAAACCTAAATCCCTAAATCCCCAACTCGCTAAAGCCCTAAGGCCCTGGACCCTGAAAATCCTAAAAGCCTGACTCAACCCTAAACCCTAAACCCTAAAGCCATGACCCCAGCCCTAAACCCTAAAAGCCTAAACCTTCGAGCCCTCAACCCTAAACCCGAAACGCAGGCGGCGGTCTCCGTGGCCACCTCCGTCGGCTCTCTGTCAGATCCAAAGGCCCCCGCGGAGTTTCCAAAGTCATCGGATGCCCAAATTTGGGGTTTTAGCCTATGGGGGTGTAGTAGGGATAGGGTTCCGATAATGGGGTTCATATGAAGGAATCCAGACTCCAAGAATCTGAAATCCCTCTTTTGGCCTCTCATCACAGAAGGTTTAGGTGTTTAGGAGGTTCCATGAGGCTCCTAAGGTCCCGTTTAGGAGTTTAGGGGTTTAGGGGTTCAGGGTTTAGGGTCGAACCCTCCGGACCCGAGCCTGTAGGGGGTGAAGTTTGGGGTTCAGGCTTGTACCGTTTGGAGGTGGATTGTGGTTTCATGTGTTCTTCACGTCGGCGGTTTTACTGCTGTCTCGAGGGTCTTGTAAGACTTCTACAAGAGTTTAGGGTTGAGGCTCTAAGGCTCAAGGTTTAGGTAAGGTTTGAGTGAATGGGTGAGTGAGTGAGTGAGTGAGTGAGTGAGTGTCGACCAGCACTTACGGTGCGGCCTACCTCCCACGTCCCTCTCAACATCTCAGGGGGGCTCCGCAAGCGTCATCGCCTCCCTCCGTCCCAGAGTTCAAGTGGGCAAAAACTAGCTAGTGCAGACAGGTCACGGTGTAGAATACTAAGATACATGTTTCAAACCCAAGAATCGGAGAGGCATAGTCCTTGACCAGGGGTAAAGCAGGCAGGAGGCCAAGCCAGACGTCACCAACCGATAATACTTATGCTTGTATGCACCAAAGAACACACCAAGTAACCGGCAGCAGACGCAAAGAGTTGAAATTGGGCGAACCGTGCGGCCAGTGCCGAGGGAGCGAGGCTCCATGCACAGAGGGCACACACAAGGCGACCCAAAGGCCTGCGCCATGTGCCGAGGGAACACTGTTCCAGCACCGAGGGCGAGCACGCCACCAATCAGGTACAGTAAATGAACATGCACACCACCGCGGCAATGAACAGCGCAGAGGCGCAGCCCTGGAACAAGGCCGATAACAAAGGTAGCAATCCAGGGAGTTGCTAATGCATATGATGAGCGTGGAATACCTCACATATACACTGAATGTCCTCAGGCCCATGATGGGTGGAGACGTCGGCATCGCCGGATCAGTTGCAACAACAGTTGAGCCAGAATACTAGAGGGCACTGTCGCCCTAGCACAGGGGTGGGGGGGAAAGGGGGTGGGGGGGAAAGGGCAAGAGCCCTTAGTGCCGCCGCCCGGGGTCCACACCTTTCCACAAGAAACCCCGGCCCCAAAGAGAGTGCTAGGCCCGGGGGAGGCTCAAGGTTTGTAGGATGTAGGGGTCCCAACAGCTATAAGGCTCGATCCCAAAACCAGTAAACCCAAAATCCTCAGCACCTTAAGCCCCGAAGACCCTTCAAACTCACACTTGAACCTCACCCCCTGATTCCCTAAACCCTCGGCCATACACCCCGAACCCAAGCGGGCCCCAAACCCCTAAACTTCCCTTTGGTTAGTAGGGAATGGAAGAATGGTAGAAATAGTAGTTATAATTGTACCCCATTCCTCCATTCCCGGCTAACCAAAGGTAAGTAAATCCTCATCCAAAGAAGTGAACTTCAGGACTTCGACGGCCTGGCGCACCTCACGGAGCACGCCGCTGGCCCAAGAGCTTCACCGTTTCGAAGGGATTCTGGGATTCAGGGTTTAGGGCTGTGGGTTTAGGGCTTAAGCTTTAGCGTCCAAGTGCGAAATTAGGGGTACCTTATTTTGGGGTCCTTATAATAAGGATCCTACTATTCGGGGTACTATATTAGGGTCCCTATTTTCGGAAACTCCCAAGTTGTTGTGGTGGTTGTGTGGAGGGGGTTTGTTTCCGTGGTTTCGGGTTTTTACGGCTTAGGCGTTGGAGGCCTGGGTCCCAGATCTTCCCAGTTCAGGTGCAGCGTTCTCGGAAACTCCCTAAACCCTCAACCCTATAGATCCCTCATAGCAACCCTTAAAGGATCCCTTTAAACGAACCGAAAGGTACACCTAGTTTTCGAAGGTAGGCTGCCCAAGATCTGCCCGCTTGAAGTTCAGGGGTTCCGGGATTTCCGGGTGCGGGGGCTGGAGGTCTTTGGGTTTTGGGTTCAAGGGTTGAGGGTTTAGGGTTTAGGGTTTTGGGTCTAGGGTTGAGGGTTTAGGGTTTAGGGTTTTGGGTCTAGGGTTGAGGGTTTAGGGTTAGGGTTGCTGTCTTGTGCTCCGAGGGAGAGTTTGAAGAGCTATTTGCCGGATCCACCCCATTGGCAAGGGTGTCGTTCTGGATTTTAAGCTAGCAGCCTGATCAAGGACCATAATAATGCCGTAATATACCATAGCATAGAATGATCTGCTATAAGATACTATGGTATACTATACAAGAACTATAATACTGAACTGTTATCCTCGGAACCCCTGGTTTGAACCAGGTCCCAGGAAGTCTAGGACTTTCCTCAGGGCCTCAGGTATCGGGTGGTGCAGGCTGAGGTTACGTTTCGGTTGCTGTTGCTTGTCGGATTGCCTTTTCTTGTTGCCATGAGTCTTATCATTCTGTGTTCTTCGTCGTCTTCGCCTTGGTTGTTGCTACGGCTAGAAGTATGAAAGCAGTGCTACGGTTGCTGCCATGAACCAGAGGTTGAAATAAATCCAAATCTGCACCAGGACCATCCTTAGGTGCAGATGTTCTAGGTGGGTTGTCAACCCGCGAAGTGCCAAACCCGAAGGGGTTTTTAGCCCGGACCCTGAACCCCAACATCCCGAAGCCCTAAACCGTAAATCCCTAAACCCCAAATCCCTCAACCCTAAATCCCTAGGCCCCAAATCCCTAAACCCTAAAGCCCTAAAGCCCTAAGCCCTGAGAACGCCACCACCCCGCGCCCTCCCCCCGAAGATTTGCCGGTCTTTGAGGCCATGTTCCTGGGCTCCGAGAAGTTTCCAGAACAGTGTCCTGGTCACCGTTGTGACGATGATACGGTTGATGATATAAATCCTGCATTACCCATAATAAGGAATATACCATAATTCCCATATATTCCCTATTATGGGTCATGCAGGATTTATATCATCAACCGTAGTACGGTTTAAGGTTTCGAGTTCCTTAAGGGTTGAGAGTTTTAGGCCCACCCTCACCACCCACATAGCCAGCGCCGGCACCATCACCATCGACACCACTGCCACTGCCGCCACCAGCTCTTCCGCGGCGATGATGGCGCTGTTGGAGGAACAACAGTCAGATGATACAGCTCAGCTCAAAAGCAACAAAAACTCAAATCTGAGGCCTGCACAAGAAGCAATACTGTGCCCTTTTTATTCGTCATGCTAGAAATTGCATAGAGATTTTGTAGAACCCTTGAACTGCCTCACGAAACCCTTAGCACCCCCAACTCTGCTTGAAATGGTTTCTGCTAGAACCGTTATTGAAACCCAACAAGCGCTTCCAAAAGCGAGGTTTGCATGCTTCGTCGCAGTACCCCTTCCTAGTCACGATATAACTATAGCAGCTATGCTAAATTTATCGCCTTGTATACAGCCTTTCTAAAACCATATAAGCCCCAATCCCTGAAACTCCAGAGACAATGTTGCTGTAGAGCTCTCCTGAAACAGGAAGAGTGATGAACAAATATATCACCTGTAGTAGACTCGTAACACCCTTTTTCATGGCACCCTACGAAACCCCATGGAAACTCTACAGATCTGAGGTCTGAGGTAGTCTTTGGTTGTAGAAGCCTACTGAAACCCTAAACCTGACGTCTGAGTTGGTAGAACCGGTAGAACCCCAATGAAACCCTAAACCCTTCACCCTAAACTCTTGAAACCCTATAAGGGACTCCCCAAATCGGAGGTCGGGCTTCGACGTTTGGTTGGCAGAACGTGGGGGCTTCTCAAACGCGTACACTGCGGAGGACTCGGGGGGGCTTCGGCTTCTCCCAGGGGTTTGAGAGAGTAGAGGGGCTTAGGGTGAACAACCGATGATTCAGAAACTGGCGCTTGATTCAGAAACTGCGCTTCAGAAACTGCGCTTCAGCAACTGGTGACGCTTCAGAAACTGGGCCCGAAACTGCGCTTCAGAAACCACCGCGCTTCAGAAACTGCGCTTCAGAAACTGCCGCGCTTCAGAAACTGCCGCGCTTCAGAAACTGCGCTTCAGAAACTACCGGCTTCAGAAACTGCTCTTCGGCAACTGCGTAATTTGGGAACGGAGCATCCATGTCCAGAGCCTAATGACGTCCATGGTCTACTGCGATTTGGAAACAGAGCATCCATGCCCAAAACCTAATGACGTCCATGGTCTACTGCGATTTCGGAACAGAGCATCCATCTCCAGAGCCTCATGACGTCCATGGTCTACGATTTGGGAAAAGAGCATCCATGCCCAAAGCCTAATTACGTCCATGGTCTACTGCGATTTGGGAAGAGAGCATCCATGTCCAAAGCCTAATGACGTCCATGGTCTACTGCGAATTGGAAAAGAGCATCCATGTCCAAAGCCTTATGACGTCCATGGCCCACTGCGATTTGGGAAAAGAGCATCCATGTCCAAAGCCTAATGACGTCCATGGTCTATTGCGATTTGGGAAAAGAGCATCCATGTCCAAAGCTGAATGACGTCCATGGCCCACTGCGATTTGGGAAAAGAGCATCCATGCCCAAAGCCTAATGACGTCCATGGTCTATTGCGATTTGGGAAAAGAGCATCCATGTCCAAAACCTGATGACGTCCATGGTCTACTGCGATTTGGGAAAAGAGCATCCATGTCCAAAGCATGATGACGTCCATGGTCTATGTTGATTTGGGAGCAGAGCATCCATGCCCAAAGCCTAATGATGTCCATGGTCTACTGCGATTTCGGAACAGAGCATCCATGTCCAAAACCTAATGACGTCCATGGCCCACTGCGATTTGGCAAAAGAGCATCCATGTCCAAAGCCTAATGACATTCATGGTCTACTGCGAATTGGGAAAAGAGCATCCATGTCCGAAGCCTAATGACGTCCATGGTCTACTGCGATTTGGGAAAGAGCATCCATGTCCAAAGCTTAATGACGTCCATGGTCTAAAAAGGCATCCATGTCCAAAGCCTGATGACGTCCATGGTCTACTGCGATTTGGGAAAAGAGCACCCATGTCCAAAGCCTAATGACGTCCATGGTCTACTGCGAATTGGGAAAGAGCATCCATGTCCAAAGCCTTATGACGTCCATGGCCCACTGCGATTTGGGAAAAGAGCATCCATACCCAAAGCCTAATGACGTCCATGGTCTACTGCGATTTGGGAAAAGAGCATCCATGTCCAAAGCTTAATGACGTCCATGGTCTACTGCGGTTTGGGAAGAGAGCATCCATCTCCAAAGCCTAATGACGTCCATGGTCTACTGCGATTTGGGAAAAGAGCATCCATGCCCAAAGCCTAATGACGTCCATGGTCTACTGCGAATTGGGAAAAGAGCATCCATGCCCAAGACTTAATGGCGTCCATGGTCTACTGCAATTTGGGAAAAGAGCATCCATGTCCAAAACCTAATGACGTCCATGGTCTACTGCGATTTGGGAAAAGAGCATCCATGTCCGAAGCCTAATGACGTCCATGGTCTACTGCGATTTGGGAAAAGAGCATCCATGTCCAAAGCCTAATGACGTCCATGGTCTACTGCGACTTGGGAGCAGAGCAGCCATGCCCAAAGCCTAATGATGTCCATGGTCTACTGCGATTTGGGAAGAGCATCCATGCCCAAAATCTAATGACGTCCATGGTCTACTGCGAATCGGGAAAAGAGCATCCATGCCCAAAGCCTAATGACGTCCATGGTCTACTGCGATTTGGGAAAAGAGCATCCATGTCCAAAACCTAATTACGTCTATGGTCTACTGCGATTTGGCAAAAGAGCATCCATGTCCAAAACCTAATGACGTCAGCTGCCAGAAGCAAAAAAGATGGACACAGACTGTTTCGGGATTTGGGTGAAATTCGGTTGATAGTCACACTCTTGCATTTCCTTGAGGACCCTGAGCTCTGGGAATTATGGTATATTCCCGATTAAAACCCTTAACCCGAAATCCTTCAACCCCAAACACATGATTTTCCAGCAGGAGCCGTTCGACTGTCAGGTCAAAACCAAGGATCACAAGAACTAGCAGTATGATTCCTTATGGTTCCGTCTTGAGCTCATGCAAGACCATGCCCTATACCCTAAGCCCAAAACCCGACTAAAACCGCGATTTGGCAAAAGAAGATGATCATAATGAGGATGCTGATGATGACGGTGATGATGATCATGATGATGGAGGCGTTGAGACGCATATGGGATTGGGTTGGGAAAGGGCAATTACGGCATTGTCGTCCTATCCGACCATGTTGAGCTAGTAAGGCCTAAGTGTAAGCTTCGGGTTTCCGGCCATCGTTGCTGAATCAGTCGTTTTGGTTTCCGAATCAAGGTCTAGTTTCCGAATCAGGCTTTCCAGTTTCCGAATCAGGTTTTCCGGTTTCCGAATTTTCCGTTTCCAGTTTCTGAATCATGGCTGGTTTCTGAATCAGCCGTTCTGGTTACCGAATCAGTCGTTTCAGTTACCGAATTTTCCGCCGACCGGCTTAGGGTTTAGGGTTTAGGAGTTTAATTAGGGGTTTAGGAGCTTAGGGTTTAGGGTTGACAGAGTGCTTTGGGGTCTATACAGGATCGTTTGAGAGATGATCGGAGTTTGTTTGATCGTTTTCTGTGGGTTACATAGGTTGCTGCTGTAAGAGTGTCGTACGGTTTTCACTAGTCGCAAGAACAATGCAACCACCCGGCCTGGTAGGAGCAGACCGTCTACTATGTCGCGCTGAACGAGGAGGCATGTGTGCAGCGGCGCAGGGATGGGGTCAAGGAGTTGTCCGCTTGTGGGAGTGGGAGGTTTGTAGTCTACGGCACCAAAGAACCATGTGAACATAAAGACCTAGTCCTTCCTCATGGCACCTTGTAGGGCTTATATCAAAGCTACCTGAACGCCAGGATTTCGCGGCTTACCTGAATCCCAAAGCCCTAAGACCCTAAACCTTTAAACCCCTAACCTTCTAAGCTCGAAAACGCCAGGATTTCGAGGCTTAAACCCTGAACCCCAAAGCCCTAAGACCTAAAACCCTTAAACCCGTAACCTTATCAGCCCTAAAAGCCAGGATTTCGAGGCTTAAACCCTGAACCCCAAAGCCCTAAGACCCTAAACCCTTAAACCCTAAACCTTATGAGCCCTAAACCGGCCAGGATTTCGAGGCCTGCCTGGATCGCTACGCCGACGTTTTCCTTGCGCCGCTCTTCAAGGCCTCGTGGATCTGGGACGAGGCCGGGAGTCCTGCAGCAAAGGGTTTCTATAAGGGTCTCTTAGAGGGCTCCTGTAGAGGGTCCTTTGTGCGTTTCTCTTTAAGGATTCAAAAACGGGTGTGTATCAAGGATTCGAAGGGTTTTAGATGCTTTTTTGTTAAATCTTACTGGGGTTTAGGGGTCGAAGCTGTCGGCCTCTTGTTTCCGACTGAAACACACACTCTTTCCCACTTTAAGTCCGACATCTGGTGAGAGGTCTCTGCTGTGGACAGCGAGCACAGCAAGAACCGCAACAGCCAGGACGCTGGAAACCAGTGTTGTTGCAGATTCAGGAGCTGGTACGTGCCTGCTGCTCTTGGTTGTTCTGCTTCCTTTCCTTTCATCTACGAGGCACCCGTTCCGAGATGCCAGAGGTGTAGAATCGTTCTTCTCGACACCACGCCCTTCAACATCCTCGAACCCCTCAGCAGCTTCCATGCAACCCTGAGAACCCTACAGAAAGCAACCAACGGCAACGGTGCCTTGCAGTCTCCAAAAAAAAAGGCACCCAAACCGCCAAGACCCGCACTCGAGAAAGCGCGATCCTAAAACTGGTGAGAATGTCCAGGGTCTTTGCTTAAGGCGTTTAGGATGCCCAAGGTCGTTTAGGGTTTGGTGGTTTAGGGTTTCGGGTTCAGGGGTTTAGGGTTTAGGGTTTAGAGGTTCTACGTTTCTCCGTTATTTTTTTGATTCTGTTGGGTTTCAGGGTTTTCGGTTTTCCCACGAGGACTGGAGGCTCCAGGAGTTGATCCGATACCACGCGGACGAGCCTCGGCGAAGAATCTCAGAAGGTGTTTTTTTTCGGGTTTCGGGCTTGGGGATTGTCAGGGGTTGGGGTTTTAGGGGTTTAGGGTTTATTTAGGGTTTTTTGGGCTTTAGGGGTTTAGGGGTTTTTAGAGTTTCCAGGGGTTGGATCCAGGGTCCAACAGCTTGGAATGGCTGGGTTCTGATCTTGTACTTAGTCTTGATGCTTGTATACGGGAGTTTCCGAAAATTAGGGGTATCTGATTTGGGGGTCCTTACAATAAGGATCCTACTATTTAGGGTACTATATATTAGGGTCCCACATTTGTCGGAAACTTCCATACCTTTTGTAGCCACAAGAAGACGATAAAGCTAGTGAGCGATGCTAAGCCCCCAACCCGATCTCGCGTGAGTCAGATGGTCAGATTTCTGGTGATCTTGTTTGTTTAAGGCCATAAGCACGAACCATAACTTCGGAGGCGCAACCCTGAACTTGAAAACGCAAGGGAAAATACCCAACTCCAAAAATTGAGCCCTGAACTTTCAAGAAGAACCTCAGGATCTACCCAGGGCCTAAACCGTGAACGCTAAACCCAGAGACTCCAATATCCCTTAATTAGGGAATATTCCTTAAATTATAGTAGGATCCCTAATATGATTTAAGGACTATTCCTTAATTAAGGGATATTGGAGTCTCTGGGAACCGTAAGTCTAAGCTCTGAAAGGAGCGCAGCCCAATGCACCGCTTCCACACTGGGAGCCGGGAGACGCTGCAGCGAACGTCCAAGGTGGGCTCCTGGGGCTCTAGGTGGCTTTAGAAAAGGATATCCCTACCTCATTGGCCCTACTGGGCTTCATTATAACAGGGTTATATTACGGGACATTCCTAACTTAAATGTTGCTTATGTGCCTTGTTTGGGTCCTGGAGTTTCGTTTAGGCCTTACAGCAGGGTTTAGTGTAGCAGGGGTCAGCGGGTAGGACATGCACGAAGGTTGGTAGGTAGGTGGGTAGGTACGTCAGTAGGTACGTATGTAGGTATGTATGTATGTCTCTAGGCATGCATGCGTGTGTATGTATGTATGTCTATGCAAACCGGCAGGTGTGAAGTGACATCCTGATGTTTTGTATACTGTCATGCTATAGATATTATATTCTGTCGTGCTCTATACTACGTAGTGTAAGGTGGTCTATTCTATCTTGTAAACCCCAGAACTGTACTTGCTCAACTCAGCACAACCTTCAACCAACCTTCAGCCCAAAGAACCCCAGGCAAACTGTCACACCCTATAGAACCTACACATAGCCCTTCTGACTGCGTTTAACGAGCCCCAAGAATTAAACAGACTGTATTATCGCGACATAGCCCTCCAAAAAACAACGAAAAAAAGGGCTTGGCTTGACAAGGAGACGCTGGCAGCGGAGATCCAGGCTTTCTTTGCTGCAAACTACTGCCCACCAAGGTTCCCCCGCCATCCCCAGCGCTTCTATAGGGTTTAGGGTTTAGGGTCATTATAATGAGGATACAAAGGTTCCATAAGGGTTCTAAGTGGGTACTACAAGGGTTGAGTTTTTGCGGGAGGCATCGCGGTTTCTGAAGATTCAGGTTGAAGGGCTTTTACAGGGGTTCCGCGTTTTTTCTTAATTGATTTTAGGGTTTTCAGGGTTTAGGGGTTTATTTTACGGTATATTTTAGGGTTTAGGGTTTAGGGGTTTATTATATTTTAGGGTTTAGGGCTCTTGGCTTCCGGGCGTGTTAGGACTCACTGGTCAGCTTAGGCTCGTTTCTGCGTGGATCCCAGGGTTCAGGCGTAAGTGGGATTCTGGCTTCCGAACTCAGGACCCGATTTTGTATCTACAGTCTCCTGAGGAATTATTTTTTGTATTTTTGTTCATATAAAACCCAAGAGAATGTCAAGACTATCATTATTCTGGTTCTGAGTCGGATGTTGGAGATTCAAGGCAACGCAGGGCTTGTATAATATAGGGGCCTTCATAATCGGAATCGGGTTTTGGGGCATATTATACTATAATTGTAATAAGGAGCCCTTAAAATCGCATTGGAAGTTATTTAATCCCCTACGTCTTTCTTGAGGGTTCTTCCCGTGTGCTGAGAACCCCCGAAGCCCAGTCCAAGTCTTCCCACCCCGACCTTAACGAGACCTCGATTGATATGGTTGGGAAGGCAACTGCACCAGGCAAAACTCGGCTGGAGACATCCGAAAGGAGCAGGGTGACACAGGATTGTGTTCTGCTTCCCGAAACAACAATGATCCCCAGCTCCAAACTCCGGAAGCTTGAAACTTCAAGCATACCTGCCTGTATACATATGTGTGTATTGGAGTTTCCGAAAATTGGGGGTACCTTATTTGGGGGTCCTTAATAATAACGATCCTACTATTTAGGGTGCTATATTCGGGTCCCCTATTTTCGGAAACTCCCATATATGTTTGCATGTATGCATGGCCACATGTGACTCAGCGCCCTTCCGAAGTCCCGGCACTTACAGATACCAGTAGCCCGCTAAAGTCTTCCTGAAACTTGCCTGCGGAGCCCTTGCCTTATGCGCGTCGGCGGCTCGAGTCTCACACCGTTAGGTTTCACCATCTGAGCAGAAGCCTCCCCAAAGCTAGGGTGTCTGGCCGTGGGGGCTTTGAAGGCTTACCAAGCAATGCCCACGTCGACACCAGCACGCCATCACAAGTAAGGCGCGCAAGCATCAGGCAAGGTTTGGACCCACACGCCGACGATCAGCATGATTGTATACCGAAGCTGTATGTCGCTCTTCCCAATTCCGTAAGTTTGCAATGCCATGGCATCTGTCTTGCCGAGAACGCCGCTTAGCTGCGGGTATCAGAGTGCTTCGGCCGTCGAGTCCAAAGATGAGGCGTGCGGCACGAGGGGTGGGTCCGTAGACAACTCAAGCCAAACTGCTAAAACAAAGACCCTACACTCTGAACCTCAATGCCCGAGCTCTAACTCTAACGCGAAGCCCGTAATTTAGCGCAGGGGCCGGCTCATTCCGAACATTCAGACCCTAAGTTCCAAACCCCAACCCGAGCCCTTAAGCTGAGACTGCAACTCTGACCAACCCGGAGCCGTGAACCCTACGTGGTGATCTCGTCTTATGGAACCCGCAAGTAACATGACAGAGAGATTTACGTCAAGCCATAGGGCCCTGTTTTGGGTTTGAGGGTTCACATCAAGAACACCTAAAGAGCAACCCTCTACACCCTACGCCCTAAAGCCATAAGGGAGCACCAGTTCCACTACAGGGCACCCTTGCAAGCCCAACTTGTAAGCCCTAGCAACACCTGACGAAATCCTACGAAAAGCATCCCGAACGGTACATAAACCCTAAACCCTTCACCCTACAATCCGAAACAATGAATTCCTGAGCCCTACCCTGTTATCGAACCCTTGTGGATCCCTTTAACGGAACCCTGCCATAGAACTCTCAAGGGAACCCTTCACACAGCTCTAACACCCGAGTCCTCCGACGCTTCCAGGAGCTCGGCCCACCCGCCAGCGCAAGCGACGAAACCGTGCTTCGATCGGCACCATTAGGTCATCACTGGAGGGATTTAGGGTTTAGAGGGTTTAGGGTTTAGGGTTTAGGGGTTTGAGGTTTAGGGTCTGGCGCTCAGGGTTTTCAGGTTTAGGGGGTTTAGGGTTTAGGAGTTTATGGTTTAGAGGTTTTGGGGGTTTAGGGTCTTGGGCTCAGGGGGGTTCAGGGTTTAGGGGTTTTCGGGTTTAGGAGTTTAGGGTTTAGGGGTTTCGGGTATTTAGGGTTTGGGCTCGGGGCGTTTTAGGGTTTACGGTTTAGCGAGTTTTGGGTTCAGGGGGTTTGGGATTAGGGTTGAGGTCATTGCTGTAGGTGTCGGAACAGCTACTGTAGCAGTAAAGACTGGTAGCAATACAAATTCCCGTGCAGTCCGTATGCTTCCAATAGTGTAACCATTCTACAGGTCAATCCTGATGCTGTTATTGCTGTAATTCTAATGGTAATTCAACCATCGCTGTTTTCTTTATCGTTGCTTCTTGTAACTATTGCTATTGTTATTGTCTTAATTGTTATTGTTTCTATTATATTTCATTGTCATTAATGCTATTGCTGTCGTTGTTGCTGTGGTGGTGGTGGTGGTGGTGGTGGTGGTGGTGGTGGTGATGGTTGCCGTTGTTAGACATCGTTGCATTTCATTCTTATCTTCGAGGATACCGTCACTGTTTCTATTGTTGTCATTGCTACTGTTCTTCTGTTCACCACATAGCTCTTACCTTAGTATTGCTGTTCCACTGTTATCACCACATGCACTACTAGCCCTAATGTCATCACCATTGTTATCGATGCTGTTCGGCATCAATCTCATTGCTGTCGTCGTTGTTGATCCAGGTGCTATTCATGCTGGTTGTTGCTCTTGTGTAACTCATGTCTTCATCTACTAGTTGTAGTCTTGAATTCTGCCAGTGACGGAATGTCGATGCCTGGACTTGAGTCGGCCAAGGATACCTCGGACCAAGATAGCGACGAGGACCTCTGCCCTGAATCCTACATCCGTGGCAGTGGCGCCTTTCACACCACACTCCACATGTTATTCAACACCATTGTCAAGGCCCCGAGCCGTCGGCATCTGAGGGAAGAGGGAGTGCACACCCCAAAGTGACCCATGTGTGCTTCTCAGCACAGTCCAGACTGTCCAGAATCCAAGCTTCCTCCACCGCGCAGGAGGACACCTCGGACAGCCCTTCCTCGCCGGCATGCAACATGACCCGCGGCATCCACTAAATTGGTTAATGGTGATGAGTCGACATGCCGTGGGTGTTAGATGTTTACTTGTCCAAACTTATGGTGATTGCGCTGGATAGTTATAGGGGAATATCGGTATATCTTGGGCTCACAGGGAACGTTCGTACGTACGAACAATGATCAATGAGTTCGATGTTGATGTGCCGGGATTTGATTGAGGGCAGAGCCACCGCAGTTTCGGAACAGAGTTTAGGGTTTATAGGGGAAGGTTCCAAGGTTGTCCTGGTAGATAACACACCAACCCCACAGCCTTAGTCTAATGATCAAGGCCCCAATACTTTGCGTTGTGCGGTTGCCGAAGCTTTGTTGCCGCTCCTTTGGACATGCTTCGAAGCCGAGTGCCATCCCACCACGAGGTCTTGGTCGGCACCAGCCCACGCCCCATGATGAAATCATCCTACTATGTAAGGCCATGAATCCCTACTGTCAAGATCACCACTAGACTCCTCGATCCTTCACCGGAGAGGTTACAGACGCCTCGACCGCATGCCAAGGATGCGTGTCAACGATGATTCTGCAGACGATTGCTCTGACAATTTCTTAGGCTCGCCGAGCGTTCAGACTTCGGGGTTGTTGGTTTGCCAAGCAAGGTCCTGAAGGAGGAGTTTCAACTTTAATCTTTGTAGCCCAATACGCGGCTGGGAAGTGGGCGGAGGAGAACGAAGGACGGAGAAGGAGGAGCTGTCGTCTTCTTGACGCCGTCGTCGTCCAGGGCAGTTGCAACCTCAACCCTAAACCCGAAACCTTAAACGGCCCTAAATCCTAAACCCAGCAGCATCTATTCCACAGGAGCATCGTTGTATTTCCAGGCCGCTTCCTGAGAATGAGAAGTATTGGATCGTTGCAAAAACATGCCATTATAGTCCAAGAGATTCTAAGCATACTAAACTGTACCCAAAACCTTGTTTCAACTGTGAAGGGTTCCATACAGTTAGGCGGTACTATACCCCCAAAATCCGTTTCCTAAGTTAAGCCCGAAGCCCTTGCGCCGTCGTGTTGCACGGTCCATGGCCGCAGTCTGCTCTTCGCCGAACTTTGCCCTGGCTTGGCTCAGCAGCGGAAGAACCGTAGCATCCAAGAGGTCTCGGAGAAGAAGAGGAGAAATATGTCATCTACACGATCTTAAAACATAGAATATGGTATCTGTAGCATAACGGGTTTCTAGGAGTGTGTAAGACGGATTTAGGAGTTTAGGATCTGGTGTTTAAGGTTGTACAGGCATCCTACCTGGTCGTTATGGGTTTGATCCTGGAATTTAAGGCTATGATCCTGGCATTGCAAGGTTCTATAAGGGGTTTGATACGGGATTGGGATTTAGGGAGAGTGCTTTAGGGTGTAAACCGGGGAACTGATTTCGACTAAGCATGGAGCAGTAAAAGCGCGCAACCTTAGCAGTCAACCCTCAATAGACCCCCTCGTGGTCAAGCACAGACCGCACATCTGGGTTTCATGTGGCCCGCGAATCCGTCACGGGTCAGCTTGGGATTGCATGCTGAACAAGAAGAGCAAGCCTTCCGGGGCTTTGTGCAAGATGCCGAGGTCTGCAGCAGTAGACCTGTGCAATGAATGTCGCCCTGGCCGTGCTGATCTCGCTGTCGGCCTCTGTCTTGAGCCAGACTCTGCAGGGCGAGACGCCAGCAGAGGACGTGGAGGTGGCCCGGGAGAGGCGCGCTTCGGTTTAAACCTGTGGCTTCCCGTAGGGATGTGTATACAAGGTAACACAACGAGATGTAGTATGACGTAGCATGAATAATATGATATTGCATACTGTGATACATGATCGAATGCACCATGTTCACGGCGGTTTAAGAGGGTACTGTCTCATCGAGTGTTCGGATTGAATCATAGTTTCGGACAGGATGCAGACAGTGCACGCAGCATGTGGAAAGCCCTAGACCCCTGAACCTGTAACCCCATCTGCTGGACCCCAAAACCCTAAACCCTAAACCCTAAACCCTAAACCCTAAACCCTACCCTAAACACTCTTGTGTTTGGTGGAATATGGCTTGATTCCCGAAACCGGGAGCCCCATGGAAGGCTCACGGAACCGTATGAAGCCCCATGGCCCTACCTGTAGCCGAAAAGACCTACCTTTTTAAGGAACTATATATAGAAACCATAAGGAACCCTAAAAAGGTAGGTCTTTTCGGCTAAAGGTATGGCATCGTGTAATAGCCTTGGGGCCTTGGGCTGTGAAGGCCAGGGCTGCAGAATCTCGAGCTTGGCATTCTGCGGCAGCTCCTGTTTGAGCTGTTGGCACCTGGGACGCTGGGGTTGCTTTGCTTTGGGGATCCTGGAGGGTTCCTTTAAGGGATCTATAAGGGATGTATAGGGTTTAGGGTGTAAGGGATCCTTGGAATAAGGTTCCATTTCTTGGAGATTCTGTTTTCGGGTTCCTTACTTGCTGAAGCTCGCAGATAGCGTTCTGGGGATTCTCGTGCTATTCGGGCAGTCTCGGTTGCTTTGCAGGGTATTGCCAGTTGTGGGTTCAGGGTTTGAGGGGTCAGGGGTTCAGAAGTAAGGCTTAGGATGTTATGGTTTCCGATGTTTCAGCGCTTTCAAGGTTTAGGGCGGTTGGGTTGGGGTGTAGGTGTTTTGGCCTGTGAAACCAGGTGCATGGTGCTTTTACTGCCGTCAAATGGCTCATCATCTATAGCATGGTGATAAAATGCAGCAACGATACGATAATACGAAATAGCGACAACAACAGCACGGACAAGTACTGCTGCTGCTACTACTACTACTACTACTGCTGCTGCTGCTGCAACTACTACTACTACTACTACTACTACTACTACTACTACTACTACTGCTACTACTGCTGCTGCTGCAACTACTACTACTACTACTACTACTACTACTACTACTACTACTACTACTACTACTACTGCTACTGCTGCTACTCTACTACTACTGCAATCACTAGAACTATCAGTCGAGACGTTCCCCAGGTCGCTCATTCTTGTTCTTCCTCTTTGTGTCAGCCGTGATCCGGGTTCGCGACTCCCCGAACCCAGCCCACTTTTAAAGCAACCTAAAACCGAAAGTCTCAAGCCTTCGACCCTAAAGCCTTGACCCTAAACCCTAAACCAGCAGCTTGGGAGGATCGAGCGGGCGAAAAAAGGAGTTCAAAAGAAAACCCTAAACCCTAAACCGGTGTTGCTGCCAAGGCATTGAAGCAGCTCCGTCCACCTGAGGGTACTGAAAACATCAGCTTCCAGGAGCTGTTTTCCATGGGTCGGTGTGCTGATTGAGCTTTTAGGGTTCACGCAGGGTTTAGGGTTCAGGTCGTGGCTTTCGGGAATTGGGGGTTTTGGGTATAGTATCTCTTGTCGATTGTGAGTCTTTCGAAGCACGTGCAGCAGCTTGAAGCTCTCAACCTCATGCGAATATTTTACGCTTCGAGACAGCTCTTCGGCAGCCAGCTCGAAACCAAAACCTACAGGGTGCACGCAGCCGTGTTCCAGAATAGAGTTGAGAATCGAGGAATGAAGGCTTGGTTCTTGCATGGTCGCAGAGAAACCGGCTGGGCAACACTGAATCAGGCCTCAGTTTCTGTGGTCTCTCTCTCGTTAAACAGTAAGAACAGTACTGGCAACAAGACGAGTAGCCGGCACGAGTTCAGCACCTCGTGACCTACCTAAACAGGCATCGCAACGTAAACTCTGGCCTTAAACTCAAAACCGTAAGCCTTTGACTCAGGAGATAACCTCGAAGCTCTGGAAGGGGCTGCTGAGAGCCTCGCCCTGTTTGTTTTCTTATTCTCGTTGGTTTCTCTAGGGTTTTATGGTTGGAGGAATATTAGTTCGCTCGGGGATGTGCGGTTTTTGGGGTGCCTAAAGGCATGGGAACAGAACATGCGTTCCCATCTTCTTTAGAAACCTCAAAGTCCTTCGGAGGAATGCAAGATCGGTTGTGGCAGTTGGCAATCGACACCAACATAATGCCGGAATCAGTGCAGGACACGGGCGAGCTTGCAGGCTCGGGACGCAGACAAAGATTTCAGGTTGTGCATTGAAATCCCCCGCAACATCTCACAATCTGATGAATCATCCTTTCCCCTTGGATCCACGAAGGCCCTGGCAACCCCAAACCCTTCCCAGAACGATCAGTCGCATTGCGTTTCTGCCCACAGTGGGCTCCCTGAAGGTCCACATGGAATGCTGGCCTGGGAGTCCGCTGGATCAAGAGTAACAGCTACTATGCTACTAGTGATGCTGTCCTGAATCCTAAACCCCCACGTTTTGGGGTTCGGGATCTCGTATACGTCAATGCTCGGCCGAAGTATCATCAGATAGCCCTGAAACAGTTGTACCATAATCTGCCCCTATGCCCTAGTCCAAATACTAAGGCTCCTATATTTCACGCACCCTAGGTCCTCAACCCCAAAAGCAAAGCCGAAACTCCTAAACCCTAAACCCCCTAAACCCCTAAACCCTAAACTCCTAAGCTCTAAACCCTAAACCCCTAAACCCTAAACCCCTAAACCCTAAACCCTAATCTCCTACACTCCTAAGCCCTACTCTCCTAAACTCCTGAGCTCCTAAACCCTAAACCCTAATCTCCTAAATTCCTCAGCCTTAAACCGGATCTGAGGTTCTTCGGCCTGCGGCAGCGGGTGCTCGACTACCTGAGCTCCAGAGCTGAGCACGAAGGATCTGCCCAGGCGGCGAGGATCGGAGAGACCCTGGGCCTGAAAGAAGTGTCCGAAGTATCCGGTGTAAGGCTTAAGAGTTTAGGGGTTTAGGGGTTTAGGGGTTTAGGAGTTTAGGAGTTTAGGAGTTTAGGAGTTTAGGAGTTTAGGAGTTTAGGGTTCTTTTAAAAGGGGTCTATAAGGGTTATTATAAGGGTGCTAGATCGGAAAGACCCAGTGGGCCTGAAAGAATTTGTTTTCGCTGTTCATGGGGTTAGGGTTCACGGTTGAGGGTTAGGGGTTTAGGGGTTTAGGGGTTTAGGGGTTTAGGGGTTTAGGGTTTAGGGTTTAGGGTTCAGGGTTCAGGGTTTAGGGTTCAGGGTTTTGGGGTTTGGGGTTCAGGTTTTGGGGTTTAGGGTTTAGGGTCAAGGGCTGATAGAAGATGAGTGTATCATAGCAATCAGTGATACTATGTATACCTCAGGGATCCTGAAAATACCTATATTATCACAATACCATTTTTTCGGGTTCTTCAATGTAACCATGCGATACTAATACTACTCCTAAGGCGTCCTAGAAGGGAGAGACCCCGGGCGACACCTTTGTTTTGGATTTGAGGTTGAAGCTTTTAGGTTCGAGGACTTTATGGGGTTGTCTTTCACTACTGCATACCTCTTGAGCTAGGCTTCAAAGCCAACACTTCAGAGCATTAGGGCCATCGGGCTGCCAGAATTTGCTTCTTCGGACACTTGTTCCGGGTTGAGTGTCAAGGAACCAGGATGTAGGGCTCAGTGCGGTAGAAACTCAAGGGCAACGAACTAGACTAGGGTAACGAAGGCTTACAAACAAGCATCAAGTATCTCATGAGCCCGTAAGGAGACTTACTACCCGTACTACTTCGTAAGGCAACTGCCAACCTCAATGACAAAGGCCGGCTCCCTTGACACAGGCATTGGGAGGCCGTACGGGAGCTGGCGACAGCGCTGACCGCCCAGGCCTTCACCGACTCAGACATCGGCGAGTTCTGGGTGCTTCAGGGTTTCAGGGTTACTGAAGCTGAGAAACAACCAACGTCTTAAAGGAACCCTTTATGGAACCGGTATAGAGCCCCCCGTCAAATAAAGGAGCCCTTAAGGGAGTTCCTTCAGGCTCAGAGTTGAAAATGAAGTTGGCCCTGGTATTTTTCTCGGCGGTACATCCGAAATTCTGGAGCATTCGCGAAAAAGGTTGCGAGGGGTTAGGTAACATATATTGCATGGGTTCGACAAGTGGAAGCGATAGGGTTTAGCATAATCGGAATTCGGAGAGACAAAAGGCTTCCCTCGATGGTCGGGCAGACCTGCGCGATCTCGCGGCGCTGCGAGCATTGGAGGATGCTTGCTTTGCGCAGAATTATGCGTGGCAGGTTGGGGGTAGAGATATTCGGATGCTGACCGGTGGGTCGATACTTTGCAACTGGGTTCTTGCTAGAGAGATGACTTGCAGTTGTGACAACCAGGGTAGCATGTCATTCGCTGAACAATCAGCTTTGCCCTTTACTGCTAACATAAATCAAGTTCCTGGACGACCTCCACCCTAAACTCTAACCTCTAACCCTAAACCCTAAACCCTAAACCCTAAACCCCTAAACCCCTAAACCCTGCAGGGTCTTAGACTGCGGTGCTCAAGGCCAGCAGAGAAATCGCAGTCTAAAAGCCCCAGGGCTTGGGTCTAAACTTCCAGAAACTTGGGGATGACGGAGTTTAGGGATGAAGGGTCAGGGCTTTAAAGATTTAGGGTTGTAGGCCTCTGGAGTGAGTGGTACTCCCTCAACAGAGTTGATCATTTGGGCTTGGGGTTAGAGGTATTCCTGAAACAGCAGAGTTGATTCTTCCACGCTTCATGGTGACTTGGGGTCTGGGGATTTGGGGGTTTGGGGTCTAGGGGTTAGGGTTTCGGGTCCCTGGCTCAGGGAAGAACTTCGGGATCTCTGGGTGTGGCTTCCACGTTCCGGCCCAGGACGTGGGACTGCGCGAGTTGATCGCGCTGATGCCGGCATTGGCTGCTGGATCCTAGGTCCGTTTATGAGTTTTAGCAGCGCATTCTTTTAAGGGTTCCGTTAAGAGTTCTGTACAGTGTTTTAAAGTGGTTCTATGGGTTTCTGTGGGGTTCTGGGTGCCCCCTTATGCTCTTTGTTTTTGGGGGTTTCTTTCTTATATGAAGGTGAAGAAGAGGAAAAGGGGCACCGTTATTGTGTGCCCTACACTAGCCCTACACTGTAAACCTTAACTTCTGCATCTTGAACCCCAAACCCTCTCAACCCTTAGCCGAGGATCCAACCACACCCTCTGCTCCAAAGTGAGCAGTGACTTGCGGTGGATACTGGAGTCTCGGAGGAAGCTTTAGATGCGTTGCAAAGAGCCTGGCGCATTTGGGGTGTCAGAAGGGTCTGCAATGTTCAGGGTCTTCGACCCCGAAGAGCGATTTGAGAGGTTCAAAGTTTGATCCGCAGATGAAAGGCCACACTCCAAGCTTCGTCACGACCCTTACAGCAGCCATAGAAGAAGACCTCATAGTGAACCCTATACCCCGTATAGATAATACAAGGGGGGCTTTATGTTAGAATAGGGCTTGGGGGTATATTATACTGTACGTATAACCAGGAACACCCCAAAATAGTATTGGTGATTATTAAGGCCCCTGCAGTAAGCCTCGCATCCTTGTGCCAAGAAGCTGCTTCCTCCGGGAGATCGTTTCGCAGTTGCGCTGGGGCACTACGCCCTCTTCTGGATCCAGTGGGCAAATTACAGGCCCAAGGATGGCGCGGCACATTACCCAGGCCTTTTGAGAAATTTTTTGCGAGTGAGTTTAGGGTAGAGGGCCGCGTGTCTAGGGTTCAGGGTTTAGGGTTTAGACTTCTGGGTATAAGGGGGTGCAAGGGGGGATTGCTAAGAGCCCGAGGGTGGAGTGTTTTGGGGTTTGGAAAGGCACCTCCTCGATCACGCAAGCCTGGTGGCTCTCACAACAAGCCCAGCTTCTGGATCTTGCGATGGAAGTGAGTTCTAACTTGCCATAATGAGGTGAGCAAATAGTCAACTTAGTATCTCTATGTTGTGATGGTATCTTAAGAACCCCAAACCCGAAAACCCCGGCTATCAAGACATCAAGACCCCAGGTTTGTGGGTGTACGGCAGATCTGTGAGGTTGGTTTCAACGCCGGCCACTCTGCTTGGGCTTTCCTGTCCAGCTCACGCCATGCTCACATGGTGTCCTTTGAGCCTCGCAGTTTTAAGGGTTTAGGGTTTAGCATCTGGGGTTCTCTACTGATTACCTACTTAAGATGTCAAATGGCTTGCCCTACACCCTAAACCCTAAACCCAACTTAAAACATCAATGGGCTTAGTCGGCAGGCTCATAATGCTACGAAGAAATCCCAACCCAGGACCTGGTGGCCACATCCTACACCCGCGCGTGCCATCGCGTGATCCGAGCCGCCTTCCCTGGGAGGCACACCTTGGTGGAAGGACCCTCGAATCTCACGATCCCCCGCTTCGTGATGCAGAACCTGAATCACAGGTGGCATGTCGAAAAGTTATCAGGGAGAATGTGCCGAGAGTTGAGAGTCAACCCCGGCCGGGAGCCTTCTGACCCCGGCACCTTTAAGCCTTGCAGCTCCACCCCACTGCTGGGTTGTTGTCAACGAACTTGGAAGTTACAGTGAAGACTGTGGCCAGTTTTCATGTTCCCAGTCCAGGTGTGACTTGATCTACATCGATGGTGGGCACGACGAAGAAGAAGCGGCATCGGACCTCCTTCACATGTCCATGCTGGCCCGAGCCGGCACGGTCCTGGTCATGGATGACGTGGGCTGTGCCTTGGAAGGAGCCCTGTGAATCCCCATGAAAGCTTAGAGCCTCCTCCAACTCGCCTTATGAGGCCGAAAACAAGCACAGGAGGGTTAGAAGAAGCCGTGCACCCGAGGCACCGATGATTTCTGTGATGGCCCAATGCGTGCCTGGCAGAGCTTTGTCCAGGCTGCTGGGTATCCCAACATCAGGGCGTTAGAGGTTGGGGCTGTGAGTTTAGAGCGTCTACGGCTAAAGGTGTCGCATAAATAATCCAAGGGTAAAAGGAGGGACCCTTAACAAGGACCCCTAGGTACATACCCTTAATAGAGCTATTATATACCCATTATATAGCCCATCATAGGGCAGGGGTTCCCATTAAGGGTCCCTCCTTTTCCCCTTTGAAATAAGCCCTCGATCTCATTTTGTAGCTTTCCTTGTGGGCCCGAGGCTGGCAGGCTCGAGAAGTTGGCTTGCCATGCGGAGTTGGCCCGGAAGTGGTGCTACGGCCGGTACTTGCAGTAGGAGAGGGTACACCCCACGCTACCATCACCTACTTTACCAGTAGTGTCATGGTATACTCTACATGTTTAAGCGAAATATGTTAAGACCTCCAACGAAAAGTTACCACATCAAGAAGCAGCTTCGCGTAGATCAGGGGAGAGTTTTGCTTAGTTCAGGATTCAGGTGCTCGATGTCCTGCCCTGCCTTCGCATTCTGAAGCAGGGTAAGTACCCTAAATGGAGTTACCCCAATTATAACCCTACTTATAACCTACTTACTAAGTCCCCTGCCCCTCCAAGTAGGATGTTGGGGGCGTGTTTGTCTTGCTGGAGCGTGCTCTGAAAGTCTGGACCATAAACCCTAAACCCCGAACCCTGCAGACTAAATCCTAAACCGCACACCCCTAAACCCTAAACCCTAAAGCCTTTAGGCCTAAAGCCTAAACGGCAATGAAGGCCATGCCGGATCTCGCCAAGTTTCACATCCACCGCGGCAGATTTTCCATGCCCTGCGCGCCTGAGAAAACGCGGGGGGACGCTGCTTTAGTCACTGCGGGAAGGGGAAGCTCAACCCTAAGCCCTAAACCTTAAAACCCAAAACCCTAAGCCCTAAGCCCTAAATCCAAAAATCCTTAAACCCCTTAACCCTACACCCTAAACCCTAAGCTCTAAGCCCTCAGCCCTAGATCCTAAAATCCCTAAAAGCCGTTCTATCAGGGTCGGAACTCAGAAGCTGAACGTTGCTGGTCCCAGGACAGAGGGATTGCGGTCATACCCTACGAGCCGAAAGGTTCGAAGCTTTAGACTTTAAGCTCCATCGGTTTAGGGTTTAGGGTTTAGGGTTCATGACACATCTCCAAATCCTACCGCGGAAGAGCGAATCGCGGTGGCTCACTCCAGACATCCAGATTTGGGTGTAGGCAAGCAGCAATATCATAGGCCATGACATATAAACCCGAAGCCAAACTCTAAGCTGGACCCCTGTAGTCGTTGCTTAACTATACAAAATACACCCAAAACCCAGGCTTTCACTGTTGAGGTTCCTACGAGTACAGTGGTATGGTAACCCTTGTAGCATCCCTTATCGTACCCCTACAACCCTAAACCCCAAACCCCGTTTCAAGGTATTCGGATCCGTGCATTGATCCCGAAGCGCCGTCTCCTGGACCCTAAACCCCAAACCCAAAACGCAAAGCCTAAACCCCAAACCCGAATCCCAAAACTCAAATCCCAGAACTCAGATCCCAAAACTCAAGCCCAAAACCCCAAACCCAAAACCCCAAAACCCTCTCCTTGACAGGAGGCTTCAAGTTGGAGAGGACTCGGCTTTGGCGGCGCGAGGCGCATTGAAACCCCAAGAGCGCAGGGTTTAGGATAGACGTCCGAATAGATACTAAGGGTTCCTTTTCTACGGGTTCCTTCGAGGGCTCCTTTGAGGGTTGCATCCCACTGGAGTTCCTGTAGAGTTGTAGCAGAACATGAGTTCAACAAGATCTGCAAGTTGCACTTTGGTTCGATTTCGATAGGCCCCCGCAACGTATATATGTAGGAGTGTTTAGGGTTGAGCTCCTGCATTCCTGCATCAAGGAATACGGATCAATCGGAGTTGTAGAGAGCAGCCATCGATTTTTCAGGTATATTGTTTAGGCCTACCGAGAATCTCAAACATGTCGGGAAAGCCCTTTCGAGACTTTCTAGGAACCCTTACATGAATCCTGTTCCAGTAGTGAAGGCACCGAAGTGGGAGTTAAATGAGCCTCGAGAGACGCTTCGTGGAGCCTACACCCGCAATGCTAGCTACTCTAAGACCTTGAATCGTGAAGCCCTTACAGGAACCTTCTAGAACCCTGATGGAGCCCTTAAGGAAGCCTAACCCTAAACCCTAAACCCTTGTAGAAGCCTTACAAGAAGGCTCATGGAGCCTTAAAGTGTAGCTCAAAGCCAGAGCACAGCAGGTGCTGGATCGGAACATTACTTTCGGCAGCTCGGCCGCAAGGGGGCGGAGGCTTCGTGGGCCCAATCTGAGACTCCAAGATCAGGTTCTTTCAAGTTGTAGCTATCTGATCCCTTAATAGCAGTTCTATGCAGTTCTAGTTCTCACATCCCTGAGTTCTAGTTATCATATCCCTGAATAGTAGCTCTAATACTGACGATGAAGGATACCAGGCGTCTTAATGCTAGTAGTAGGCATGGAAAACAGCAAGGCTCGTACGACTGGTGATCGTGAGACTCCAGGAGGATCCACATTTATTTAGAAGCTCAGTGTGTCAAGAGAAGCCCAAGCCCCAAACTCCAATACTCAAACTTGTAAACCCTACACCCGAAGCCCCCAAGCCTAAACCCTATACACCACAAGCCCCAAGCCGTAGGCCAACTGCCAAGTCTGAAAGGATTCTGTGGAAGTTAGCTAACGCCCACTGCAATGACTTCGCGCATCATAATGGCCTATGTTGATGCTTCCTACCAGACAAGTGTTGGGATGGCCTATAGGTTTGGTTTTCGCTTTCGGGCTTGATATGGTCGCTGAGGAGATTGCTTTGCCCAGGTGCGTGCATCATCCTCATTGAGAATGTGGTGCTGTCCTTCCAAACATTGGCGCATGGGCGGCAGTGGGGCTTTGCAGTTCATGCCTTGAGCCCTACATGCTAGAATACTAAAGCCCAATCCAAAACCCCTGAAGCCCTAACCCCAAGCTCGAGATCCGCACCATAAATCCTGAACCCGTCAACCCAAGCTGCTAACTCTGACAGGGGCTATACTTATGACATGTGGGCCACGCCATGTCCTGGAGCATAGTGCTTTCTTTTAAAGGTTTCGAGTTCTGGGTTTCGGGTCTGGAGAGGGTCTAATGTGGAGGCCAAAGCGACTACTGCAGGGTTTTGGGGGTTTGTCTCGCAGTGACCTTGTCGGTGTACTACAGGGGCCTGAATAATTGCCAAAAATATGGTGGGGGGTTCCTTATTATAGTTATAGTATAGTGGGCCCCTCAACCCTATTCTAATTATTACGGCCCCTATATTACGCAGTTCAGGGATGCAAGGTTTTGGGCGTGGGTTGGGTACGGCCCCCACTCATTAATAGTTGAATCATATTCGTTATATCGATCGATTCGGGCCTTAATAGTAGCCCCATTATAGACTCTTACTGTAAGGGGGCAGTACCTAAGGCGTGGGTTCCAACCCTAGAAGAGTTGTGGCTCCCGCGATGCGACACTCCTGTTTGAAACACTATGTCAATGTGGCAGTTTCCGAAAACTAGGGGTACCTTATGATGTGGTCCCTAGAGACAGGAGCCTACTATTTAGGGTTACTATATGAGGGTCCCCTATTTTCGGAAACTCCCATGTTGCAAAACCAAAGGGCAAGCTAGCTTCTAAGACCGCTCCGGCGCGGTGCGGAACGTAGACTCGGGTCGAGGTTCAGTTAACAGCTCAATGCTCCCAAGGCTTTGTGAAAAACGCGTTTAGGGTTTAGGTTTGTTTTTGCTGTGAAAAGGTGCCTCAAGAAATGGGGTCGGACTGCTCGCAACTTGCAATGTGCCTCCCAGAGTTTTCCAAGGGCGGCGTCTTGGCCGGAGAGAAGCCCGAAACCCGAAAATCCTATGGCCCAGCTTCGGTCAGGGTCTTAACTTCTGTCGTTAAGGTATAATGTGATTGGGGGTAGTTTCGTTTTTTTTGTGCAGGGTTCTTGAACATTTTTTGGGTTTCCAGGATTTTTTGGGTAAGGGTTTATGGAAGGAGGGTCCCAAAAATCCCAGATGCTGATGATCCAGAAATGGTCTCACTGGCAACTTTGGCTGCCGCGCCTCGTCTGCACAACCGCTGGGAAACTTCGAGACATGGGTTTAGGGTGTTGGGGATTTAAGGGTCGGGGTTTCTGGAGATTTTTCTTTGAGTTCATGGGTTTAAGGCTTCACTTGGCAGCTTGAGAACAGCCTCAACCCAAGTACAGCAACAGGTACATCATCACGTACGCTGTCGAATGGCCGCTGCTGACATACATCCTGCGGCATCCCAGGCGGGTTGGACGTACAGATTTCTGTTGCGGTCTTGGTCGAAGTGTCCCAGAAATCGAGGCTTCTGACCGTTCCATCGCCCCAAAACCCTAAACCCAACACCCCAACCCTAAACCCCAACTATTTGCTTGAGCCTGATTTTGCCACTTTGAGTCATTGAGCTTGTCCGGGTTTCAGGTCACCGGCAGGGAATTTGCCAGCCTGACCCAGCATCCTTTGGTTTCGGATTTCCGGATGGAAAAACCGAACAGGGTTTAGGGTTTAGGATGCCTCTTTAGCCTGATACGTCTAGGCCCGCAAAGCCGAACAGCTGGCCACGTAGTACACACTCCTTCCTCAGCAGATCAGCCGCAGAGGCAGCTTCACCACCCCTAAACCCCAAATCCCAAAGCTCAAATCCTAAACCCCAAACCCAAATCCCTAAACCCTAAATCCTAAACCCAAGTCCCACATCCCAACAAAAATCATATCCCTGCCGTCTCAGCTCCTAAACCCTAAACACCAAACCCTAGGATGCCCAGTAGTATCCTTATTCCCTTTTTGTAGTCCTAGGTTCCTTATAAAGTTACCCAATACCAAAAAGACAGGCCTTTATATTCTTAGGTTACTGGGTATCCTAGAACCCGAATCCTACAACTGAAATCCCTGACCCTAAACCCTAAACCCTAAAACCCTAAAACCCTAAAACCCTAAAACCGTAAACCGCCTGCTGTCTCAGCATGCATCTCTATCTGGCGGTTCTCGGCTTTGACTCGCCGCTGGGCTCAAAAAGTTACCCTGTGTTGGGCGTGGGGTCTTCATGTAGGGTTTAGGGTTTCAGGGTTTTAGGGTTTAGGGTTTCAGGGTTTGGGGTTTAGGGTTTTAGGGTTTTAGGGTTTAGGGTTTGGGGTTTAGGGTTGGGGTTTTGGGGTTTAGGGTTTAGGGTCTTCAGAAGCCATAGTTTCAGTCGTTTTGGTAGCAGAAGCTCACAGGGATATTGGGCACATGTCTTATTCAAGGTCAAAGGGACTTAAGTATGGCTTTCGCAAGGACTTGCCGAAGGTAACAGGTGAGGGTTTAATAGTTTCAGGGTTCCCCAGTCTACTACGGTTCGAGGGCTCAAGGAAGGGCCGCAAGGGTTAAGGGTAGATTCCGGGTAGAGTTCATTGCAGCTCGCAGAAGGATTCATACCTCATCAGACTTACCGTTGGTTAGTAGGGAATGGAGGAATGGGGTACAGTTATAACTACTATTACTACCATTCTTCCATTCCCTACTAACCAAAGGTAAGCAGAATGACCATTGGGCCGTTGCAAGGGGATAGCCCCGCAGCATGCCCGGCTTCAGGAACATGCTTCGCCTTATCTCTAGCAGCGACTGCACCCACGTTGAGAAAGGTACTTAGAAGATCATCACCACCATCATCATCTGAGTGAAAGCTCTCATAGTGTTGGAAAGTTCATCATCAGTCTCATCCTATCTATCACCATCACTACCTACTGTCATGATAACACTGGTGCTGGCCAGGATTTGTCGGACCCTGAACGCGTGTAGTGCAATCACAACGCTGCCTCGTTGGCCTTCCTGGGACATGAGAACACAGAGCTAAGGATTATCTCTCTGGTGGCTGCCGATCCGATGATGCTGTGCACCAGCACGATAGTACCACATCTAGGTGTAAGTATACGGTTTGGGGTTCAGGGTTGAAGGTTTATGGTTTAGGGTGTAGAGTGCAGGGCCTAACTTTTTCAGGACTGCGTCGCATGAGTGTCGGCTTGTGGGCCGCTAGACCAGCCCAGATACCACACACCGGTCGAAAGCCAGGAGCCAATACCATGAATGTAGACCCCCCCAATACTGACCTAGACTACTACCATCCTCTAAACCCGAGTGCCTACTCACTGGCTTCTTTGAAGCTACAGGCAGGCAGCAGCGTGAGGATGGTAAGGTCGGTACGGGCCAAACGCAATCAGTGACGCTCGCAATCGTTTCCCGAGTGTGTCGACTATCGAATAAGTTGCCATTCATGTGCAAGCCGTATTGTCAAGGTGACCCTAATCCAGGGAGCCTCCCACATGGCATATGCTAGTGGCATTGTCTGTGTTGAGAACATAATCAAACCATCTAGTGCAGAGTCGATCGTTGTTGCAAAGCCTGGCTCTGCTTTGTAACCGTTTCCATGCGTTAGGGCTGGTAACATCGATGCTGACGCTGCTCCCTTGCAACTGCTGTCACCACCACCACCAGCACTAAAACTAGTAGTAGTAGTAGTAGTAGTAGTAATAATAGTAGTAGTAGTAGTAGTAGTAGTAGTAGTAGTAGTAGTAGTGGTAGTAGTAGTAGTAGTAGCAGCAGCAGCAGGAGTAGTAGCAGTACTTCTGCTACTGCTGTGATGAGTACCAGTACTAGCTGCGCAGCTCTTAGTGGCTCCTGGGGGTGCGATGATCTTTGATTCTCTTTCCCATTCGGGGCGCAAGTCTAAGACACAGAAACACAGGCAAAGACTCTCTCACTCTCGTCTTTCTGCACTGTCCATGGGAATAGATGCTCAGTGTGAAGGTTTCGGAGTCGATCTACGGGGAGCTCTAAGCCTAAGTATCTCCGGCTTTCTTTAAGGTCATGGTTCGAGTCAGATGTGAACCACGACAACACCAGCGGCTTGGTGAAGGGGGCAATATCGGACCTGACCAACTTGCATCAGCCTTCCTTAAAGTTCGATACTTCCTGTTTCGCATTATGAAACATGCAAAGGAACCGTCGCCACAAGCTTTGGCCCCTTAGGGTCCGAGCTGGAGTTTGGGGCCGCAAGGTTAAGGGTTTCGGGCTTTCTCTGTAGGACCCCCCCGGCCCTTGAAGGGGTTTCGGGGCACAGTGAGTGGGGGGATCAGCAGTCGTGGATTTGATGGTTCGGCATCCGAATCTAAGGTTTCAAGGCCATCATGAACCTCAGAGATTGAGAAATTCAAGGAACGCATCCAATTTCGAGCTTGTGTGGCTTTTCGAGATTACTTTCTTAGCCCTTGGGTTGCAAATACACCCAAACTCCACAGCCTAAACCCCTAAACCTCTAAACAGTCCTCTCTCAGGCTACCAGGTGCTCTATTTCGACATGATCTATGTGCTCATGTCAGTACCGGCCTTGGTGCCCACACACGACGGTCAAGCCTAATATAAGGGCTTAAAGACTAGTTATAGGGTTCATTTGAAGGGCTTCTTAAAAAGGGGTACTTTAAGGGTTCTATAATAGGTTCTGTAGTATAGGGGCCTAAATAATTACCAATACTATTTTAGGGGTTCCTTTTTGTGATTATTGCACCGTATAATGGGCCCCAAAACCCCATTCTAATTCTTAAGTCTGAAGCCCCTGGTTTGGAACCCAAAGCTCGATTCAAAGGTCCAGGGCTGCGACTCAGAGTTCATGAGCCAGGGACGAGCATGCGTCGTCGTGGTCGGAGCGAGAGAGTTTCAGAGTGTATGTTGGGGTCTGTCTGCTTACGTCTTTGTCTGTGTGTATGTGGGTTCTAGTTTATCAAGACAAGAGTTTGCGGAGTCCACGATTGAACACAGCCATGCTTCACTATAGCCCTGCGCTCACTGTGGGTTTCTATCGAGCCAGTATAGTTCCTTTATGGTATAAGCCCTCCCCTCAGAGAGCCCTAATCCTACCATTCAGGCACCTGCATACCCTTATAGCTCCCTTGAAGCTTCCCATTCAGGCTCCGATAGCCCTTCATAGATCCCTCAAACAAGCGCATGACCTCAGGATGTCGGGTTTAGGCTTTCCAAAGGCACACTCTCCGCAGGTGGATCTTTCAAAGAGAGGTCGGAGGAAGTGGGAATGGTGCCCCACTGGAGGAGTACCTATGGAACTATACCGAATACCCTTATCTGACCCAAGCCCCTATCATTCACGGCCCCTTTGCTCAACCAACAAAGTTTCAAGCAACTCGTTCCGGAAGGGTTCCCCAGTGAGAGAAATCCGCTGTGCAAACAGAAGGAGTTTCCAACCGAACCAGCCAAGTCAATCAAGTCAAAGTTAACCGTCAACCCTAAACCCGAAGTCCCAGACCGCAAACCCTAAGCACTGCACCCAAAAATCCCAAGTTCTCCAGTTAATCTCGACTCAAGCCCAGCACCTTGCATGCTGCGCACCTGCAGTAAAGCTCCGTTGTAACCGGCCCATATTCCTGACGACCTAAATTCCCAAAATGCAGCTGCAAGCCGTAAACTCTTAACCGAACAATCCGAAACCCTAAATGCCTGAGGTCATGTACTATCCGACAGTGAATCACCTTACCATTTTCACCCTGGGAAGGACTTGCACAGGGACTTGTGGTTTCAGTTTCCAGTCAGGATATCTCGGCAGTTTCGGGATTTTGGGCTTAGGGTGTAGGGTGTAGCATTCATAGCACGAAACATTAGCATCTCTGTTCGAGCTAGTTGTGATCATGAGGATGATCGCGATAGCCCTTGTTCTCCTTCTCCTCCTGCCTTATCCTCTGTTCCATCGCCATCATGTGAAAGTGCTTGTCTTGGCAAGGGTACTACGGGTATGACATCTCTATAAGCCCCAAACCCCAAACCCTAAATCCTAAACCAATCCTCCTCCTCCGCCACTGGCTCTCACTTCAATGCGCGGAGGTGGTGCGCAAGCCTGCGCAAAGCCCTGAAAAGGCTTCAAGTCCACACAGAGCTGACATGGAAGCCCAAAATAAGTACTAGCATTTCATCGTAGTCTATTTGATCGTTATGCTAAACCTGTAACCCCAAGGCACGGTCTGATGATGAAGGCGACCCTACCGCTTCGTCTGTTCCAAAAACCAGGACCCTGGTCTTTGCCATGTACCTTGCTATTGTGTTGTATACCTGCGCGAATGTGAACGAGGCGAGCTTCTGTTCAGAAATGGGGGCTGTGCTGCAGAGCCCGTGTTTGTCTTGCTAGTTTTCTCTAAGCTTCCTTGCTTTTGTGTTGCCTGCCCGGTCACTCTAGGTTCCTGAGTAGTGCACTCCTCTCTTGGCCTTTTGCTTTGGGTTCCTTTGTTGCAGCCGAACAGTAGGAAAAAGGGTACCCTGATGTCAAAGCGGCGACTCAGGAACCTACGGAAGGAAGGAGGGAATGAGATGTTCAGGGTTCAGGGCCAGAGTTTCAAGGGTTCTGGGCTTAGGGTTTAGGGTAATACTATTCCTTAAACTTCTTTCTTGTAATGAAAAGCCGCAAAACCCTATTCTAGTTCCGAGGCCTCGATTTCAGTTTTCAGGGCATTGGGCTTAGGGTTAAGTACCTATACTATTTTCGGGGTTCCTTGATGCAATTATAGTATAATGGGCCCCAAAACCCAACTCTAATTATTAAGGCCCCTATATTAGGGTCTACGGCAGTTTAGGGTTGGAGCTTTCACTGTCCCTCCCCACTCGCCTGCAGGTAGCATTCGCACATCGCATCTTTGACATTAGCGTCGGTGGCCGGGCTTGCAATTACTACGTGGCACTTCTGGAGAATGTGCCTCTTCTTTTGTCGGGATAGGTTGAAGTACTATCAAGGTTGGGATTCTGGCATTAACTCTTCAGAGCTAAGCGTTGGAAGTAGCGAAGCAGCAGGCCGTCCTTAGACCAACGCTCAAGGCCTAAATCGGCCTAAACCCCAAGAATTGATAAACCGTCAACCCGGAACCCTACAGCCTAAACCTACAACCCGAATGCTTCCTACGCTTTAAATCCTATCTTAGATTCTGCCAGCCTTCGTGGCTGGTCGGACTACATCATTCCTTTCGGATTTAGGGATTAGCACCCAAAAGCTTCCGGACTTGTGTTTTGACATCCCGAATAATGACAGCGACTTCAGGGTTTAGGGATTAGGGTTTCAGGTTTAGGGTTTAGGGTAAACGATTGCTTTGTTGCTACAGAACGTACCGTTCGCAAATAGAATATCGGCGGTTTCAGGCTCTGGTAAGATCCCACGGGGGTTTTCGGTTTCGGCTTCCCACGCGGGCTGCAAAGGGTTTGGGGTTTAGGTTTCATAGGGTTTTCGGTTTCGGTTTTCGTGTTAGTTTCGTCCTAAGCTCTGAAACATTCTGAAACTTAGGTGCATCTTGGCGGCACAGGTTTTAGGGTTCAGGGTTGTGGGAGTCGGAACTCCCCAATTCAGGTGTCGTTGCCATGTTGATGGTGCAGCTTGGTTGCATCACACTGCGCAGCTCGAAAACTGGGTCCTTGTTGAGAACTAACTGGGTCCTTGTTGAGAACCCACTCCAAGATCCCACGAAAAGGGCACATGGCGATTCATATAGATGTGGCTCCTTCTCCATATGGTGACCCAGGTCAGACTCGGGAGAAAACCCGTCAGCTAATCTTTCAACACGACCCCAGACAAAAACGCAATTTGGCTTAGGCACGAAGGGCATTGACTGACTGAAGGCCCCTCTGGCCCACAGAACCCTTCATGGAAGCCCTGTATAGAAACTCCTTATAGCGACCGTTTCAGGAACCAAGCACAGACACTCAACGCACACAGAGCCCTTCAAAGAAGCTTGAATCCCAGAGACTCCAATATCCCTTAATTAAGGAATAGTCCTTAAATCATATTAGGGATCCTACTATAATTTAAGGAATATTCCCTAATTAAGGGATATTGGAGTCTCTGGGAGTCTCTGGGATCATGGGAGCATCGGAGCGCTTTTTGGAAGCCTGGAATCCTGATCCCGGGGTTCGGAGTCAGGGTGATCTCAAACTCCACGGGAGCCGGAGGTGTGACAGCCTAAACCCTAATCTCCAAAACACCGAACCCTAACTATGCATGCTTTTGCGTGGCTTAAACTCCAGTTATGTGTAACCACTCGAAGGATTGAGATACTCTTATTGAGGAGGGTTCGAGAGTTGCGGACGACGATTGCTCACTTCGGCTCGGAGGTGGGCATAGCCCCAAGGTAGGTATTTCATCTGATATTATACAATGTAGCATAACAAGATAGTATGATATGTGAATAAAGGGTTGCTGGCCCCACAGCACACCACAAACCACGCAGGCTTCCAGTTCTTGACAAGCGCACCTCCGCAAGCGCCGACTCTGTTCTTGAGCTGCTTCATTCGATCCAAGCATCCTCGGTGCTAAACCTCCCTACTGCTCAGGGCTTATCAGGCTCCAGGCTGTTCTTAACTGAATATGGCCTTAAGAATGAGCAAGATTATCTGTTTTGATCGAAGAAAGATCCACGAAGAGAGTCCAGAAGCTGCAGGAACGCCATCGCCATTGCACAGAAGAAGCACCTCTGGAAGCTGCAGAGGCACCAAGCAGAGGTGGGCCGTTGGGCAGAGGGCTTCTGGGGACAAGAGG